ACTCGTTAATGGCTGAATAGTCACTGACAACTCAGGTGTATCAGACTTCGGAGCACATTTGACTTTAAAAATAATCAATAATGTACAGAATAAATTTATAAGTAAAAATATACGACCCCTTGAGGTAAATACTGTAAGTACCTCACCATTCTTCATAGAATCTGAACAGGTACATTGCCAACTGGTTGAGCGCGGGTGACAAGCTACGATGATTCACTTACTTGACTTATCACTAATAGTTAACGTGTTTTCATCAATGATTATATATATTGCTTTCATCCGTTAATATGCTAATAATTGTGGTTTATTCATTTCAGCTGACCTTACAATGAAGCTTTGAGGGTTTGTTTTACGAAATCTGATACGATTTAGATGCGAATAATCTAACGACGGGTTGTTAGGTAGACGGGTAGTTAGGTAGACGGGTTGTTAGGTAGACAGATAGAAGGGTAGATAGATGAACAGATAGATTGGTGAAGGTTATAAACAACTCATTACACCTCAAATACCTAAACTTTTTTTTTTGTAGAATTATTTATCCTCTAGTGCTGGAAAGGGTAAATAAACTCTTGTGCTGGAAAAAGTAAATAAACTTGGACATAAAGCATTGGCGAAATATGTATATCATCTAAATTAGTATTAATCCCTTAAGTAAAGTCTAAAGACACATTAACGCGTGGTTACAGGACAGGAAACAGCGAGTGAGCATTAACGGCACTAAGTCCCATTGGAGCAACGTCACTAGTGGAGTTCCCAAGGCTCAGTACTTGGACCATTATTATTTATTATATACATAAACGATATAGATATCGGCATAGACAGCAACATAAGTAAATTTGCTGATGACACTAAAATAGGACGTGTTATTAAATCTGACGAGGACTCCGCAAAACTACAGAAAGATCTAAACAAATTTTTCGAATGGTCTGAAAAATGGCAGATGAAATTCAACGTCGACAAATGTAAAGTACTCAGTATAGGAGATGTAAACAGGGAAACCAGATACCAGATGAACAACGATGCCATAGAGAAATCCGACTGCGAGAGAGATTTAGGAGTAATGATAAGTAGGAACCTTAAGCCAAGTAAACAATGTGTTTTTGCTCGTAACAAGGCTAATAAAGTACTTAGGTCCATACAAAGGAGTGTTAGTTACAAGACTCGCGAGGTCATCCTAAAACTGTATCTTGCGCTTGTGAGACCACACCTGGATTACGCAGTTCAGTTCTGGTCACCGTATTACATAATGGATATAGAATCCTTGGAAAGAATTCAGAGGAGAATGACAAGACTAATCCCGGGCATTAGGAACCTTGAGTATAGAGACAGGTTAAATCATCTTAATTTGCACTCCCTCGAGAGACGTAGAGCGAGGGGCGACCTGATAGAGGTGTATAAATGGAAGTCAGGGCTAAACAAAGGGGACATTACAAAGGTACTCAAACTATCCAACCAGGAGCGAACTCGTAACAATGGTTTTAAGTTAGACAAATTTAGATTTAGGCACGAAATAGGTAAAACACTGGTTTGGAAACAGAGTAGTGGATGAATGGAACAAGTTACCAAATATCATCATTAACTCGAATAGGCTGAATAGCTTCAAACATAGGTTGGATGCTTATATGAGCAATAGGGGTTGGGTGTAAACGGGACTGCCCAGTATGGGCCAATAGGCCCGCTGCAGTTTCCTCCATTCTTATGTTCTGCAAATGTAAACTTTTTCCTCTATTACAAATAATTTCGTTAAGACTGGTCACGTAAATAACTTTTACATGCTTTCTACTTTAACAAATCTGCTAAACAATGCAGTGGGTTAGAAAGATGTTGATAGTACGAAGAAAACTTGGAAAGGAATGAAAAAGGCTTCAAGAAGAAGCTTCGTGAATCTCTGAACTGAGCTTGGAAGTAATGTCCGCGGATTCGTAAATCTAGCCAGTGTCCATCTGTAATCCAATTCATACAGAGATGTGTGAAGTGGACGAGGGTAGGACAAAAACTACCTTAACCTTACCTAAAGCTAATTTAAGTAAATTTAACCTTATGCCATTGTAACCTAACCTAGGCGGTGGTTAGGTTCGGAAGTTTTGAACTACAGGAATTTACGTGTATGTAATATTGTAATTTTATCGTCGATGGAGAAATCTCAAGTCGCCAGTGTTAGGAGAAAATAATTACCATGTTAAATAAAATGTTCAAGTGCGTAGTATAACTTAAAACTACAGAACAATGAGTCAAATAGATTATTTCGCATAGTTTTCTTTTGAACATAAAATAACGTTATATTAATGAATAAAAAATAAAGTATCAAGTTCATTCGGTCGGCTAGATTAACACTAATTACTTCAATTGGAAATGAAGATGAATACCAATGACCAATTAGCCAACACTTAAAAGATGTACACAGCACAAGAAAACGAAACACTCGCTTCACTGCCAACTTGGCAAATGACAGCTCCAGGAAATGCTTATCTCCTCGTCTCGCTCGTATACAAACAGAAAATGAGAATTTAAATCAACAAGAGTAATTTCAAAGCACTTTTGTAGGCTTCTTTATGTATTTATTGAAAAATTAAACGAAATATATTTGATTTCATAAGACATTTCTTTCGATATTACCGACTCATGGAAGTTTGTAAACTGTGTTCTAATGCCAGATGACTGTATGATGAAACTTGTGGCACAGATTCTGTACTGTACGTACACATTTACTAATTTTATTTATAAAACGCTGTGGTCATTAATTGTCCAGTACAAAACCACTCACCAGTCAAGGTGCAGGTTTATCGTTCTTTGCATCTTAAAAGACATGTACTTAACCTAGAAAATTGTAGACAAACTTTATGGGTACATCGGAATGACTGAGCTAGTAGTTTACGCCATAGCGTACTGTAGTGGACGACGTCCACTACAGTACCATTACCAGATATTCCTTGCAATGATGTTACTGTAGTCGTAAAAGCAGTCTCACCTGTGTTGGAGTTCAGTGTCCCGTAACCACTCGCTATCGACGTTCGCACTATGGAGTAGCGAGGGTTCTGGCTTTCATCACTTTCCGAAGTCTTTGTTGCCATTATTCCAATAATTTCCTAAACACAAATTACACTATAACAAGAGACAAGGTTTCACCAGTGTTAGCAGCAGTACAGTTCCCTCGTCTCCGCAAATTGTTTACATCCAAGATTGCGAGCTTTTGAAGTACATATGACAATATAACACAATAAGGGTCTGGATCCCTGGACTCTACTGCAAAAAAGAAACCTTGCTATGGGTAATATGTGCTGTTTGGGAAGCTGTAACGATCTAAATGGCACAGAATACTTGATCGAACAGATGCCCGGGGTACTGTATAGTAGCCCGGTGGGTTTGTTACTGCCTTACTGGACCAAAGACTATATACTCAAGATAGGAATGAGTGTAAAATAGCCGGTAATAATACTAACTGAAACCTCAAGGCACAGTGACGTCATTTTATGTAGTCCAGAATTAGGATGGCGCTGCAGTCGTACTTATGTGACGTCACGTTGTCGTCTGCATGTTTTCAAAATCTACAGCTAAGAATAGCCATTTTATAATCAGTAAAATTATTGATGACACCTTTATATTTCAGTTTAAATTTGTTGTCATAGATACTAAGAAATTCTTCATTTTATTAAAGAAAAAAATTGATACTTTTTGGATACTTCACAATGGCAGCACTGTAGCCAAGACTTCTGGACGCCCAATTCAACATGCCGGGTAGATCGCACCCCTGCGTTATTTGCAAGAGGAGAAAGGATACACATCCATACTTTCATTTTCATCGGTTTCCAAAGGACAGAGATAGGCAACTTAAGTATTTAATCTCTTGTGAGTTACTGTGAAAATATGCAATTATATATTGAAATACATTTCAAATCAGAGACAGCAGCTTCATCAGTCACTCCTACTCACTTGATACGAATTTGACAGGAGTCGCAGATGCCATTGACATTCCCAGAATATGCGTGAAGAACTGTGAGGAATTGCACAAAAGTTATGGAGTGTGCTTTTTTCCCTTCATAATATATATATATATATATATATATATATATATATATATATATATATATATATATATATATATATATATATATATATATATATATATACTAATGTTACTCTGATATTAACTGGCAGCTCTGAAGAGTGGAACGTTATCAGTAATAAATGCATTAAATAAAGAAAGCGCTCACATAAACTAATGTACAGTCAACGTTGACAGAAGTAGGTCCACGACTCACCTCTCTTTATCTTTCAGAAATCGAAAGAAAGAAAGGTTTCTGTTCCAAGGAGTTGCTAGAGAAATTTATTGCTGCACAGTACTGGGGCCCCATAGCAGCTGCTATAAAGAAATGCACAAAACAAAAGAAAATAGTGATTTCACCGAATTTTTCGTCTTCCTCCCTTTATGCATTTCCTAATTATTTAGTTTACTTCCCAGCCGCTTGACGGCGCTACTTTGGGTGGTGAGCGCGTTCGCCCGCGGAAGTGGGCTATCCTTCTATAATATTAGAACCCTTGGCGTCCATGAACTTCGTTATGTAACTGTAAAGTCATTTCGGGTTGAGTCAACACCAAGGATTGTCTTGGTCAACACCATTGCTTTTCTCAACAGTGCTTAAGTCGCATTTTACTTGGTGAACGCTTTAAGTAGTGTGTTTTATTTACTTAAAATGCAGATTATTATAGTCATAGATAATCTGCACATTGTAGCATAATAGTGGAGTTTGTGTGTGCTATTTGGCATAATAATATATAATAGTGTGAAACCTTAGTGAGTGTTGTGATAAACAGCGAGTGGTAAGCTCAGAATCTGATATTTATTCTCTTCATTAAAATCAAAATAGTACTACCAACTTACATACTGTAGTGAACCTGTCTTTTTTTATTTTTTTTTTTTAGGAATTGCAGTACAAAACAAAAAAGCAAATGTTAACCAGCCATTCAGCCATCGTGTAATACTTGTAATATATTCTTTACAGGCTGAACATGAGCTGTTCCGTTCTTCATCACGTGGAGGTGTGCGTGAAGGAGGAAAACAATTTACTGCGTCTTTTAACACACGGATTTGGATTCCATGTGTTCGGCCGCCGTGTGACCCCCTGTGCCTCTACATGGGCTCTCAGGAGCGGCACCTCTGTGTTCACCGTCATCAAGAGAAACCGTCTCGTAGGCTGTGGGAGGTATCAAAGTTATGGTTTTGCTGCTGAAAACAATGCTGAAGATAAAGTTCCCAGTAAGAATAAACAAAGTTCACCTAAGGGTTCGAGTTTGCAAATGATGACTACTAGTAGCAATGAAAACGTGACAACCAGATCCCACTGTGGAAGTTCAAGTGGAGATAAACTGAATCTTGATGGAGACAAAAGTAGTCGGTTATACTCCACAGAAAGTTCACAAAACCTTTCTAAACTTGTTTGTTGTAAGGATGCTTCCCTAGAAAAAAGACTTAATGAATATAATGAGCACTGGACTGTGTTTTGCTGCAGAGATGGAGTTATCCATTCACTTGACTCTGTGTTTAACATAGCCTTAGTGGTGAAAGATGTGGACAGTGTAACAGAGAGAGTTAGGTCACGTGGAGGACAGGTACTCAGAGAGCCAGCCAATATATCAGATATGTTTGGTCAAGTCAGGTACTCCATCGTGACTTCTTGCTGTGGTAATATAGTCCACACTTTGATAGATAAAAAAAATTATGAAGGTGATTTTTTACCAGGATATGAAGCTATAAAGGAGTGTTATGGAAATGCATGGGTTGACACATCAATAACAAATGGAGACCGGAAACAACTTTCTGTCAACTGTACTGTACCTGTAAATAAATCTGATTTTCCACCAGTTTTGCAGAATAACTATGGATCCAATGAAATTTTCGAACAAACACTTTTAAACACAGCTGATTCTACATGCTATCCTCAAGGTGGCATCAAACTACCTACAGCTGCTCCGATCTGCACCTACATTGACCATATCACCTATGTCTGTGAAGCTGGAAAAAGTAATGATTTAATTGACTGGTATGAACACTGCTTTGGAATGAAGAGATTTATGACTAATAGGTGAGTACAGTATTTACTGACGTACTTTTACTAATACTGTGCAATAGTTTCACTTAAAAAAAATCATTTTCGGAATAACTTACGTTATTAGTGAAAACTGCGAACCCCATACACATAACCATGGTAGAAAGACAAGGCCCTGCTTTACCGCAATTCAAAATAATTTCACCAGTGACTATTAATTTTTGATGATTATAAAACACTCCATGTAAATATTAAGCGAGAGTAATCTATGAACTAATTCAATGGAATACCCTGGTCGGTGTAAGTAAATAACAACATCTAGGAATTTAAGTTACAGTACTTCTCATAGCCTCATATGTACTGTACTATTACACAGGTATTTAATCAGTGTCCGTAACCTTTGGATCGTATTTCAGATGTTGAACGTAGCCCTAAATACTTATGTTATACTGTAAGGATTTATTACACTACCTAATTGTTAAGACCACAACACTACCCAACTAAGGTGTGCATCCATTCCTGGTCGCCAGGCGGGCATTATTTTATTGCGGCGTGACTTTGGAGCTCTTGTTTATGGATATTCTATCGTCTATCAGGTCCATACACAATTTTAAATAATACTGGTTTTTGTTGGGGTTTAGGAAACTTCAGCACCAAATTTTGGGCACTAGAAACTTAGCACCAGAAAACTTCAGCACTGGGAGTTTTTGGAATCAGAAAAGTTAGGCAATCAGGATTTTTGCCACCAGTGAAGAAGATAAATGAAAAAGAAAAGTAATCAGAGACGTGACCGATCGCCCAAGCGGCTAACAAGCCGATTAATGGCGAAGAGAATAAAAGTAAAAGTAAAGTAAAAAAAAGTAATCATCCAAAATTAATAAAGGGTGAGGATAGAAAATTGAAAATTAAGATTTCTAATTTTTGGTGCCGAAATTTTCCCAGTGTTGAAAATTCAGTGCCGAAGTTTCTTTTACTTTTATCCTCTTCGCCACTGATCGGCTTGTTAGCCGCTTGGGCGATCGGTCACGACTCTTTTCCTTTATATTCTTCACCAAAAGGTCGGCTCGCTAGCCGCCCGACGTCGGTCACGTCTCTGTCACGCACTGTTGGCAAATACTGGGCATGCACCGGCTCCTGAATGTACCTGAACCCGCTCCAGTGTTGGTCAAGTCTTCTCTTGAAAGAGCTCACACTCGGTGCCGTCACAACACTTTCTGGTGGATTGTTCCAAGAGTTTACAACCCTCACTCCGAAAAAGTTTGCCCTCACGGTTTTCCGGACTTGCGGCTTCTTCAATCTTGAGCTGTGACCCCTTGTGGGGCGAGCGTCCGCCAGCTCCAAGTAAGGACACTCAACTGAGTAGTGCCCCCTGAGATGCTTATAAACCTCAACTAGGTCCCCCCTTGCCCGTCTGTAGTATAAGCTAGGCAAGTTCAGGCGCTCCAATCTCGCAGGGTAGCTGAGATGCCGAAGTGCAGGCACCAGCTTGGTGGCCCTCCTTTGAACATTTTCAACCAACTGACAGTCCCTAGCATATCTCGGGGACCAGATGGGGTGACAGTACTCCAGATGGGGAAGCACTTCACTCCTGAAGTACTGTCACCCCATCTGGTGCCGAGATAGTCAGTACTGATGTTTCCTACATTAATTTTTTTGTCTGGGATCCCTGGACCAACTTTAATTAGGCAAGGAAGCTGGTGCATCTGGTTGCTTTCTTAATGTGGACAGATCTCATGGCATGGCCTCCTTTTTCAGTCATGTGGCCAGTTTACCATGGGAGAAACTTAATCACCATATGGTTCTCTCCTGAACTAAAGTTATAATTATTTATATCTGGTAATCTTACTGATTTACTATGAAGTGGTATTCTTTTAACTTTACTATGAAGTGACATTCTTTTTAACTTTTGGGAAATAAACAATTCTAAGTTTAGGAGATAATTTTTCCACATTATGCCGAAAACAAAGTTTCTGACTTACTAGTAACTCGAGCGGGTTGTTCAAATTCACTTCTTTTGTCAACTCGTCCGAGCTATTTAGTACATAAGCATTTAAGCTACTTAATAATCTTGTATTTTGTATAAAGAACATTTACAGGTATACTTAATTTCATTCTACAAAACTATATTTACATTTGTTGCGTTGCTTTTCTTCACCATAAGTGTACAGTAAACTTATTACAATACAGTGATGTCTCCGTTAGCTGGAACAATTGGTGCAGAGCACTTCTGGGAAAGATAATTTTCCACGTAACGGAGGATTATCTCAAAGCCGGAAAAAAAATTCCTCATCCCCATAATTTTCCGGGTAACAGAAAAATGTTCTTGGAAGTTCTAGAATTACCCATTACTGTACGTCTTCTCTCGGACCCAGAAAAATATCCCTGATCCCAGCAATTTTCCGGTTAACGGAAAAATTTTCTCCGAAGTTCCAGAAATTGTCCATTACATCATCTCTCGAACCTGGAAAAATATCCCCATCCCCGGAATTTTCCGGGTATCGGGAAAATTTTCTCAAAACTTTCTGGAAAATTTGCCCCTCGGAAAATCATTCCCAAAGCCGTAATTTTCCGGAAAATTTAGGCTTTGGGAACGATTTTTAGAGAAAATTTCAATTCCGGCTATCAGAGAGTTCCAGGTTTGAGGGATTCCGTCTAATGGAGATATTACCGTATTTGCTAAACGGCCTCAAAGTGTAAAAATTGAGGGTTTATGTTATGTAAATTATGCTCTCAAGTAATATGTTATATTGTGGGGTAGCTCATATTTGTGTTCACACTCAGGATGGGATGGAGAAAGGAAACTCACAATGTGCTCTCTGTATACATGTTGTATTGGATGTACAATGCAGCTTGGTGCTGGGAAGTGGCAGCATGGTTACAAGCGTGATGTAGAGAGAACTGGTTGGTGAGGATGCTCAGAGGAGGACAGCTTGTGGGTCGCCGGCGGGAGCGAGGGCCGCCAGGCAGTGGCGGAAGAGGTGTTGCTTGCTTGCTGGTTGGTGTAGGTAGAAAAGAGAGAGGTCACCACGAGGTCAGGTCTTAAATAGCGGAGGTAGGCGTGGCTTAGTAGTTGACCTACGTCATGTAAGGCGGCGCTGGTTGACCTAGACCACGAGGCATGCACTGCGGAATTCATGGGATCGGCTACTCAGCGACAAACAGCGTTTGTAGGGGAGAAATCCACTACAATACTCCCTCCATGTGGTGTAGGAGACTTGTTGTCTGCAGGGTTGCATGGCACATGTGAGGCAGAACGGGCGGTGCATGCCACATGTGAGACATAACGGCGAGGGCGTAGATGAGCTTGCCGCTAGTGGAGGCAACTGTCTAGACACACAAGATCTGTGGAAGAAGAGAGGGAGAAAGAGGGTTGTGGAGGCGATGAATGTTGTGCTTCACTCGCAACAGGTACAGAGTCGTCAGATGAGCCTGCTGGGGTGTGTGGGCCTGGGTCAGGAGCAGGGGCTGCGTCAGGAGGAGCGGCAGGGGGTACTGCTGGGCCAGGGGCGGCGTCTGAGGCAGGACTGGTGTGCTGGGGTCGGTAGGACGTGGTGCTTGGGGCAGGAAGAGGAGCTGGTGTCTGCTTAGAGAAGCAGTGCTGCTCTAGGGTGTCTAACCTGCGGTGTAGAGACAATAGCTGTAGAGCCGATGAGAGCTGCTTCTGGGTGGATAAGCCAGTCTTCCATGTTGCTTGAAGACTGGGAGCTTGATCTGTTTCTCCTCCATCCTGTGTGAGTGCGAATCTCCGGGGGTCACCATTTGTGGGGTTATGAGATGTTTGTTCTCTCTCAGGATGGAATGGAGAAAGGAAACTCACAATGTGCTCTCTGTATACATGTTGTATTGGATGTACAATGCAGCTTGGTGCTGGGAAGTGGCAGCGTGGTTACAAGCGTGATGTAGAGAGAACTGTTTGGTGAGGATGCTCAGAGGAGGACAGCTTGTGGGTCGCCGGCGGGAGAGAGGGCCGCCAGGCAGCAGCGGAGGAGGTGTTGCTTGCTGGTTGGTGTAGGTAGAAAAGAGAGGTGTCACCACGAGGTCAGGTCTTAAATAGCGGAGGTAGGCGTGACTTAGTAGTTGACCTCCGTCATGTAAGGCGGCGCTGGTTGACCTAGACCATGAGGCATACACTGGGGAATTTGCGGGATCGGCTACTCAGCGACAAACAGCGTTTGTAGGGGAGAAATCCACTACAATATAACTACTCATGAACTCTTGCCTTTAGGTTGATGATTATTATATTCACCCCATGTGTCTATCTTATAGACAAAATATTTCAGAAATGAATCACCAAACTTTGAAAGCATTGTGACAACACCAAGTGTGAGCTCATTCAAGACCAGACTTGACCAACACTGGTGCAGGTTCAGATGTATTCTGGAGCCAGATATACTTTTACCTTTATCCTCCTCACCACTGATCGGCTCGTTAGCCGCTTGGGCGATCGGTCATGTCTCTGTTACGCACTGTTGGCAAGTACTGGGCATGCACTGGCTCCTGAGTGTATCTGAACCTGCTCCAGTGCTCACCAAGTCTGGTCTAAAAGAGCTCACACTCGGTCCCATCACTACACTCTGGCAGATTGTTCTAAGAGTTCACAATTCTCACTCCGAAAAAGTTACCCCTCACAGTTTTCTGGGCTTGCGGCTTCTTCAACATTGAGCCGTGACTCATTTGTGGGGCAAGCGTCCGCCAGTATATTCATTACTTGCTAACAGTGTGTAAGAGCGACATGACCGAACGCTCAAGTGGCTAACGAGCTGATCAGTGTTGAAAAGGATAAAAGTAAAAGTAAATTTTTTTTTTTTTTTTTATACTTTTCAGACAGAAAAGGTCAGAGCAAAATTCTCTACAAGAAGAGCTAGTGATCAAGTAACCCCTTTCTTAACCAAATTATTTTCAATATTGATTTTTCACTTTCCATGTTAGTTGTTTTTCCTTATCTAACGTTCTCTTTGAACAGCGAGGAGACTGAGGATGGATTTGTTTTGGGTGGAAATATTGGGTTGCGCCTCAAGGCCCTAGAATACTGGAGATGTGCTGAGAAAGGCTTGGCTGCTCCCAATGCTTCCATCAATGACTCTTCGCTAAAAGTTGTAATTGCTGAGCCTCTACCAGATGTCAGTAAGTATGACAATTTACAATTTTAGGTTTTGTACAGTACTATATGGTATGAGACCAGGTTAATTAATTATATTTTGTCAAGGGATATTTTGAAGCTCGGTACTGTTCCTGATTCCACAGCTTGAGCTGGTAGACTGTTACATTAGTCTACCACCCTCTGTGAAGAAATGCTTCCTTATGTTAGTTCTGAACTTCTGCATGATAACTTGGCGAGCTTGTAGTTATATCCCCGTGTGTTGATGGTGCATGACATCACAAAAAATGGCCAGTGTTCACATTTTCTCTCCCCTTTCAGATTTTTAACATTTCAGTGAGATCTGCTCTATTGCACACCAGCGAAAAAATTATTCGGCACCCTTGTCATATTGTATCACGCCGTAAGGGTGCCGAATATTTTTTATTGGGTTTACAACTTATTGGCACACATCGGGATGGCCTCTCTGGCCAGTCTGTACTGTACACCCACTAAAAAATTATTTGGCACCCTTACGGCGTGATACAATATGACATGGGTGCCGAATAATTTTTTAGTGGGTGTATCTTGTCTGAAAGGTTGTTAGTTCTAAGGCCCTCAGTCTGCTTGGGTAATAGATGGTTTAGTTTTGGAATTACTTTGGCTCCCTCTACTGTATGTTGTACCCTTTTTATGGATATTAGATCTTTCTGGAGGTAGGTTTCCATGCCTGTATACAGTTGTAATCCAGACAACTACAACGTACCTGAGTTTTCTACAGTTGAAGAAGCAAAATGCTTTTTACAAAATAAGTTTGATTGTTTCTTATCGGACAGGCTGACCCATGATTATTATTGTGTTGACCCTTCTGACCAGAAGCAGGTTGACCCCAATGTCATTAGCTATCACCTCTCAGAGGAGTGAGTTGATAAGTGTTGACCCTGACCTTACTGTCAGATCTCAGTACGGGGAGGGGATGTTGGGCCCAGCAAGACCTTGTCTGTTTCTTTGATGATGACAGAGTTGATAAGTTCTACTGACATGCAAGAAGGTTACCTTACTGTCAGGATTAAAACTAAAACTAACACTGAACCTCAGACTACCTTTTGCTATTTTTAGCAATATTTCTTTGATACTACATGATAAAATGGAAAAAAAAAATTAAACAAACAAAAGTCAGTAATTACGTTCGGGAAGCTTCCCTGTGGCTGAGTGTGTGGCGTGACAGGCAAATAGTCACCCTGGAACCTGATAACCCGTGCTGGGCATTTAAAGAGTGGCGGGAAAAGGCGCGCGTTCTGAAACGTCACCCGGGGCACGCAAGTCGGGCGTTCCGGTACGTCGCCCGGGGTGTAAGGGTTAAGGATAAGTAGTTATATACATTTAAATTGGTCGATCTGTAACACAATACTGTAAGTAACTTTCACACGTCACTATCATCATTACCCCTTGATTCACATTCTGATGTATCATAATCGGTACAGCATTATCACTATTATCGATGTCACTAATAACGGCAGATGTGAATAATTATCTTGTGAGGACCCTGTGTGTGCACCGGCGACACCCCATGATACAGCTCTCCTCTAGGCCACAATACCAGTCACCAGGACAGTCACTTCTGCTCCAGCACACTTGTTAACTGTAAACAACAGTTAACCTTACTTAATACCTAACATCATTTATTACGACCACTGGATGCAAATTAATATACAGTACTTTACTATGATAAAAAATCCACATTGGAGACATACCTATTAGTCAATGTTGCTGAGCAAAATACAGTGGAAACACTCTCCCTTTCCACTCCACTAGTAAGGCAACCCATGCTGCTTCACTCACAGCTGCTGTGTGACTCCTGCCACCAACTCTTACCTAAACTCTGCAAACAACTCAAACTTATACACCAACTAAACCTAAGTGAACCATCACCAAACTAATGAAGCCTCAAAGTCCTGACTGACTGAGACATCGATGTGTTGGCATATTTATTTACAAACAAGCTATCTGGGAGTTCAAGGAAGCATTAGATTTGAATTGGAGCTGTTTACAGATATACATATTTGTGAATTTGTTTCTGACCTCTATTCTTTCATTGATCATGTGCTAACTACACTCTTTCATGTATACATGTAATTCATCTGTCAGATTCTCTGATTTTTTTTTTACTGTACTCAACCGTACTTCAATTTATACAGCAATGCTCACTAATTTCTTGACAAACGTAAATATGTGGGGTTACATCACAAAGATCTCAGGCACCCGATTATTATTCACAATATTTCACAAGGTACAAATTGTGCCTTCAAAACATTCTCAGAGGCATCTTCAATTCTTCCTTTATATTAGATAAGTGTATTCTTAGGGCTGCACACATGGATAATGGCATAATTCATACATTTCTTGGCACATCTATATTTTTTATTTAAAAGATAAATACTAGTGTATATACGAATTATCAGTACTCCTTTGTGTGACAATTCTGCGACTCGTTTCCCATACAATGGGGCATTTTAATATTACCCTGTACCCAAACTGTACAACGAGAAAATGACTGTATTTACTTAGCATGCAGTTTTAATTTGAAACCATAGAAGATAGCTAGCTACAGTAACTAATCCCTCAGTACTGTACAAGGTAATCTCGGTGACTTGAGTTCACTGCCGGAGTTGCAAAGTTCTTCGCGTAAAATGTTTCGAATGTTGAATGTATGTTTTGCGGAATCTGTTTCGTGTAAAGTTGATACCTGTCAACGATGTGCCATATGTCAGTGCTGTATACAGTAATAGTATGCATATACAGTACGTACCTGTACTGTATAGTAATGTATTGAGATGGACAGTGTGTGTGTGTGTGTATGGAGAAAATTAGATCACAACTTTTGCCAAATGAGTACAGTAATGTGAAAGTACTGTACTGTACAGGTGTACCTGAATATTTGAAGTGTGTATCTGTAAGAAATGATATTGTTCAAAACATTTGATGTTCGTGTGGAAAAAATGCCCTTACCTCCCTGTTTAATGAAATAAACATCAGCTTTCATTACCAGTCTGGTGACATTTAAATGAAACATTACAGTTTTATGATCCAAATCTGTTTTTCACATGAAGGACATGTGTGTAGACTGAGAGTTGAAGCTTTAATCAAAAGAAAGGTTCATCCAACACTTTACCAAGCAGTACATGCCATACATTTGAAATTAATAATACTAAAAGAGGTTCCATGTTAATATTTTCAGATATCAGCCATGTTGACACTTTCCTTCAAGCACACAAGGGTCCCGGAGTGCAGCACATTGGGTTACACTCTCAAACTATGACAGCCACTGTCAAATATATGAATGATAATGGAGTAGTGTTTAGGAAACCTCCAGCAGTTTATTATCAAGAGGTGAGTTTTGCATTCGCTATACACTGCTGTATAAAAATGATGATGTATCTGTATACTGTAGCAATATGATTATTTAAAAGTCTGCAGGCCAAGAAACTAAACAGATTGGGCTTTGAAATTTAGACATGGGAATCATCTTTACTCAACAGGGTATCAAACTGGAAGAAATTGAAGATACAGGCCATGGGGAGGAAATTGAGCTATTCCGAGAACTGGGAATATTATTGGATACAGAAAAAGATGTCTTTGCAGATAGTGATATGCCTGGTCAAAAAAGGTAAGCAGTAAAGTACTAAATGAAGTGTCACAAAGGTAGATGAGGTGTGTTTCGAATGAAGTCATCAACATACTCTGAGACACAGCATCGAACTATGATTAGTTTAATACAGTAACTATACTAAAGATTGATTTCTTGAACTTTAAATATTTGAGTGCAGGGATTGAAGTCAGTATACACTGAGCATATTGAAAAATAGGCCATTGTTCATATTTGGTTTAGACAGGTGATCGGTGAAAGTGTATTGTAGTCAAATTAAACTACATATTGTAATTACAATTAAATATTTAAGTTTACTTTTTATTTTTAATACTATTGCAACTTTTTTGCAGATACCTCATGCAAGTGTTTACCAAGCCAATCTTTGAAGAAGACACATTTTTCTTTGAAATCATCCAACGTTGTGGTGCAACTGGCTTCGGTGCTGGAAATATTACAGCTCTTGCAAAATCCATTGTACTCTCTCAGCAACAAGTTGACAGCAGTAACCTTTAGACTTTTAATATTGAAGTATACACAATTGTTTTTTTTTCCAGTATTTATCAATAGACTGAGATCCATTTGCCACTGAGATATGTACTATAATTACAGTATTAACATATCTTACCAGATTTTTCAAACAAAATTCAGGACAGAAGTACATTTTCAAATGCTGTCTTGTTCACATATACTGTTCTTGGTGATTGAAACTTGCCCATTGATTTTGGGTAACAGTATTTGAAAGCCTTGAAGATTATTTTCATTAAATTAAGGCCGATAGATTTCATGACCCTGGATAATGGATAAATTGGGCTTTGATAGGAACTGATGAAGATGCCAAAGTGGGAGTCGGCTGGTATTACAGACTTTCATATACCTGTACTTTATACAGTAGTTATAGTGCTATGTACTAGCACACTGTCGTTATCAGTCTTAACACTTTAATTTATTGATTTTTGTGATTTATTCTGGGATTTTAGGTAATTGGTTCCAGCTCACCGAAAATTACATACAAAGTAAAAAAAAAATGCATTAAAGTACACTTACTTTGAGGTGTGTATGTAGAAGGCTCCTGGTTGATGATGATGATGGGAATTAGAAGTGCGGGTGGAGGAAAAGGGAGAAGAGAAGGAAGTGGGGGGCAGAAGAGATATCACCCCATGCTTGATGCTGTCATTTCACCCATAAAATTTTAAGTTCACTAGGTGTAATTCAAGATTATTTTCTTTAAATCAACACTGCACAGTATATTGTCAATATGTTAAATAAATTTCAGAATGACCAATAATTGTAATATAAAAACGTAAAAATAGTTTATGTTCAAGAGAGCCACAAGCAAACTGTTACCTCCACTGACCAGAAATACAAACTGCCGCCTTTGTGGGTGAGTCAAGTGGCTGATTGGCGCACCAAAAACTAGTTCCCTGTACTGCAATTATGTTAATTAAGTGTTAAAATGACTAAAAAAAAATTATTTAAAACTTGGAAAATTATTGAATAGTACATCCTTCTTGATATTTACTCCAATTTCAACGAATGTTAGCCCTAGAACCGATTTCTGTATTGGCGGACTAATCTTCCAGCTGGTGAGCAAGCCAAAGCATGTCGAAACATTTTCGTAAGAATTTCGTTAACCGAAATTTCGCTAACCAAGGCGTTCGTTAACCGAGGAACCACTGTACACAATATATTAAATAATTCACAACTGTAAAAAAAAATAAAAATAAACTGATCCACTTTTTCATAAAGTACATACTATTATTTTATATGAAAAGTGAAATGGGTTCAAGAGGTCTAACAATATGATAGGGACAGTGCAGATACAGCATACTAAATATGGGTACTTATATACTGCTGGTTCAACTAGAGGTGCACGGCAGCACAAACCAGCAATCTGTAGAACAGGAGGTGAATGTTGTATACTACAGTAGAAGTCCAAAAATCCGGACTACTTGGGGATTGGGTCGGTCCGGATTTTGCCTTTTTTATATCATAAATTGTAGACTTTCCAATGTTGTATGTTTCCATTAGAACAGTATTGCTCACACCACGTTCTATTCTAATTATTTAAAGTTTGTCACTCAATTTCAACGTGTTCTTCTTTCTCTTCACACAACCAAGTTTATCTACTTTAGGTGCCATTATTATGGGCTCTGTAAATGGAAAGAGTAGGACTCAAAATTACATACAGTCAGTTCTGCTATAACGCGTTAGTTGTATTCTTGTAAAACACCGTGTTATAGAAATTCGCGCAAAAGAAATAACGGGTTATGGAGAAAATAGGGTTAGGTGCAGATTACTCGAAATAAAAAAAAATTTAGTAGCTAGCCTAACACAAAGGATAGCACAGTCTAAATAAATGTTAGTCATATCTAATAATGAAATCATACAGTAAATGTAATACTTTACCTTGAAAAAATATGAATATAACTTGATGGGGCAGAAGGGTGATTTTGAGGTTGATAACATCGAGCTTCTCCAAGTGTTATAGCCTTTCTTTTACGATCATCACCAGGAATGCGATCACCAGAACGCTTCTTGGAGATATTCTTCTTTACCATATTCACAGTTAATACCACAAAATTGGAGAAATAGTAAGCAAAAATTGCGTTACAGCAAACAAGCGTTCGCTTTTACAAATATCGTTCCTCTATTCATAAATCGCGTTAGAGCCAATTCGCATTGTCAAAGCACGCGTTATAGCAGAACTCACTGTACGTTGTCAGTTTGATTGCTCGTTTTAAAGTGGCGACAGCGTGGTCGCTGTGCAGCTGTGGCGCTCACGCATGCGCTCATACACACAAAAGTCAGCTAAAAAAAAAAAATTTGAGTTTTCGAAAAGTCCAGATTCTCGGGTGGTCCGGATTTCTGGCATCCGGATTTTTGGACTTTTACTGTATATAGTATCTATGGTATTTGGCTGCAGCACCTCTAATTACTATATCCTTTAAGACAAAAACAACCCAAGTGCTACATCAGAGGCTGCATGTTACATAGAATGCAAAATGTACATAATTTTGATAATCTTGCATGACAAGTTCCTATGGTCTGTTCATTTAGGATACAGTATATAAAATAAGAGCTGTCCACATTGTTTCATGTGGGTTTGTGATTGGCTACCATGATAATGACCACAGCATAGTTGGGGAACAATTAATTTACAGCAACTTGCTATTATCATGTAGTCTTTTCCTTGTTTGACAGTATTGAAATGACACAAATACAGTACTCTTCACTTAACACAATATACATGCATCCCTAAACGTTAAACGTAAATGTAAAGTGAATAAAATTTCCCTTTTAAGAAATAAAAGAAAAAGTGGAATGCATGTGTAAAGAAGAGTGGGAGAATACTGTACTAATTTAAAAGTTTACCACTTAATTGTTCACAGAATCCATCTACGCCATGTTAAAAAATTAAACATTGATACTCACTATACAAATGGGTTATGTTCCTAAAAAAACCCATTCGTTGAGTGAATTTTCATATAGTGAATAAAAGAACATGTGGGAAAAATAGGGGTCCGTGTCTCAATGGCAAGAAACCCCCAAGATCATACCCCAAAAACATGAAAGCAGTTCACAAACAACAAAAAACCTACCTAACTAATGATACACAATAGTACACAACAGTACTGTAATTTACTACCTAAAACATTAATAAAATACTGTATAACTTTTATACATTACCTTATGGGAGGGAAGTCAGGGCGACAAAAGAAGCTGCCAAACCAAGATATTTCCCGATCATTGTAGGACCATCACCATGTTCATGACGTTTTATAACTTCCAGCTTGGTTTCAAAAGTTTCGTATTTTCTTTGGTGTAGGACAAAGGTTCAGCAGAACGCTTGGATGTCATTACGAACGTAATAATGAAAGGTTGGCACAAATACACACAGGCAAAGAGAGATCACTTCACATACAATGAATGATGGAAGGAAAGATGCAGGCTTGTGAGGGCTGCTAATTAATTGCATTATGACGAAAACGTACTGTATAGTGTGAAGTGTTTCCTAAATAGTTAATTGTTTTATGAGAAATTTGTGTTACCGGTAGTTACTGTACAGTATCATGCCAAATCATGTACTGTACTGTACCTGTTTAGGAAAAAAAAAGTGCCTTTATCCTCTGTGATTAAATAAGATGAACAAAGGAATTGCTTTAAATTGCCAATCAGTAGTGCCTGATTTGGGAAAATTATGACACTAAACTCTTGAGGCCATGCTTAAGTCTCATACTTTTTTTTTAAGCATTGAAATGCATTTCAAAATGTTTCATACATTTTATGCACACTGTACAGTGTACAGTTTACTGTATACACAGTGTATGACAAAAATGTTTTACGGTATTAGATTAATTTGTTTGGCACTGTATTACGTACACTGTATTGACAATGTCACATTTTTTTTAATACAGTAAAACCTCGATAAATCGGACCTCAATATATCGGAATTCGCTTTTTTCAGACAGAGATGCTCTGGTCACCAGAAAAAAAATGAAAATTAAATAAAAAAAATCATATGAAATGAACAGCACTTACTGAATACTGTACAGTGGTCTAATCACATTTGCTATAGGCCGACTGAGAACTAAGACACTTGAGTATGAAAGCACGCTGCAGCTGATCAGGTGTTGCTACATTTGTCAGGTTTATTTATTTATTGATTCAGTATTTTATTCTCCTATGATTGGTCTTATGGTTTATGGTTCATCAAGATTAATATAACATCTTCACTAAAAGAGACAAAATAAAATACTGTATGTAATTTGTAATATGACTTGGAAATAAAACTAAGCTGTATCAGAAGGTTATTTACTCAAGATGCATTTGTGAGAGCTTTCAGTAGACCAGCTTACAACAGGGGTCACTATAACACACTGTATAGTATAGTATTTGATATGACGATACCTTCTTAAAAATTTTATTCACTACCTTTGAGTGTTATATGCAGACTCAGTTTGGCTACTTGAAAACATACAAAAATGATTAATGAATAAACCAGGGTATATGCAGGTACATAATATTTTACGCTACAATATTACTTAAGTGGTGATAAATACACTGCAATATTATTTACTCAGTGATGATAATACACATCTGTACTGTACTAATTTACTAAGTGTTGAAGACAGACATTGTTGTAAGCCAATCAACTGTTTACTCTTTGTAAACAAATGAGTATGAAATGCTTCATGTTCAGTGTGGAATTCATTTTTCAGGAAAGCCGATTCTCTTCGGATAATATTTAATCGACCTGGCACCAAATGATCCTAAATTTTATGAGAATTGTGGTGGAATTGCATAAAGTGTTAAAGGAATCTTGTGGGAGATAGGGGGAGGGAGCCACCCACCCATGCTACCCCTCTCCCAGATAAACATTCGTCTTCCACATACAATACAGTCAGTTCTGCTATAACGCGATAGTTATGTTCTTGTAAAACATCATGTTATAGAAATTAGCGTCATAGAAATAACAGGGCTTATGGAGAAAATAGGGTTAGGTGCAGATTACTACTCGAAATCAAAAAATTTTTAGTAGTTAGCCTAACACAAAGGTTAGCACAGTCTAAATAAATGTTACATTCATATCAAATAATGAAACCATACAGTATATGTAACACTTTACCGTGAAGAAATATGAATATAACTTGATGGGGGAGAAGGGTGATTTTGAGGTTGATAACATCGAGCTTCTCTTCAAGTGTTAGCCTTTCTTTTACCATCATCACCGGGAATGCGATCAACAGAACGCTTCTTGGAGATATTCTTCTTTTCCATATTCACAGTTAATACCACAAAATTGGAGAAATAGTAAGCAAAAATCGCATTACAGCAAACAAGTGTTCGCGTTATACAAATATCGTTCCTCTATTCATAAATCGCGTTAGAGCCAATTCGCGTTGTCAAAACACGCGTTATAGCAGAACTCACTGTATACTCCTACACCTACTTGTTCTTATTTTTATCTTTATTGTACAGTATACAGTTTTCTCTTTATTCATAAGACAAATTCTGTGGTTACTTACATATAATACTTTACAGTAAATATCAATCATCTCGGTGACAACCAGACTTACGTCTGATTTTCAACAGAGAGAGTTCGGTTTCATTTCTTTTTAGTGTTGATGTAATATTCTTTTAATAACCTTGTTATACACTTAAAGACCTTAGTTGTTGAAATGCAGTACAGTACTGTAATATCATACCTGATTTTCTTTAAACAGTTCAGTGTTATCTCCCCCCGCCCCCCCAACCCCTTATATTTGCTTTTTTGGGACTTTTGCATTTTTTCAGACTGAGGTCTGCCCCAATTAGTCCGATTTATCGAGGTTCTACTGTACTGTATATATTTAAAGACATCATTCGCAGTATGACACAGACTACTGATACATGTACAATAAGTTGATGATTTAGTTGGGATATGTTTTTATAAAATGTAATGTAAATAGGCCTGAAGGAAATAGGACATATGTTTGCCATAGATTTGGGGTTATAATTTCGGAATTTTTTTGATACCTTAACCAAACTTAAACCTTTTTTAACTAAATATTTGAGAAAAAATAATGGTGACCCATACAAAACACAAATGAAATACACACATTTGCATGAACACAGATCCACTAGTACTTGCCAAAATAAACTCAAGATCGATTACAACCTTCTGTGTGGGTGGTTTTGTAGGAAAATTTACACTCGTGGTTATGGGCTTATTGAAAGGTACTGGCCAAACATGTGCAACTGAAGGGGTTTTAGAGGCTCGGGGTGCAGCATTGCCACTTTGTATGGTTAGCCAATGGTAACATTGTCATGTGATGTTTTTGGTGTGCAGTTTGAATTATTTTAGCACCATTATGGCAAGAACAACATTACTGTACAGTATATCAGACAGGCACAACTTGGGTAAAAAAAATTCACCCCCCTCTTGTGTACGGTGTCACCTCCGAGGTGAATAAAATCGTCAGGCGTAAGCCAAATAAAATATTAAAAATGGCATCCCCATAATAAAGGGGTTAATGTTTTATGAAATTAGAGAATACCTCTGTTCTCTATGACTATCAAAACTCAAACTGTTAGATTTAGTCAGCCAGCCAAGTCCTGTTAGGCCAGCTAGCTAATCATTTTACATGGTTTTTATAAGAGGGCTGCCTACACTTAACACAACTTGACATACAACTGATGGCCAAACAGACTTGAAGCCTTTAACATTGTGGATGGCTTGATCCAAACAGTCAAAAGACCACACAAGAGAATATGAGTGGTGCTTATACATCCAAAATAAGTAAGATTAACAGCTTTTTTTTTTTTCTTTATGGAGAATAGCTCACCTGGGCACAGGTCATCAGCCCACAATGGGGCCTGGGGGATAAGAGTAAAAAGAAATTATAAATGAGAAGAAGAGACTATATTAATGTACACCACGAAGATGCCGGGCTTATCACAAATGTGTGGTCACAGATTAAGCTAAGTTTTAGGCAGGAGGAGGATAACTGTATCTCAAAAAAGCTATTCAGAATATTTTATTGAAAAACATGTACAGATTTAGGTATAAATTACAGTACATGTACAGATTCAGAGTGTCTCACATAGAGTAGAGATCCATATAAAATGTCAATGTTCATATCTGTATACTGTATTTGATTCCTTAGTCCGATCAGCACCAGAAGGTTTGGTAATTTGAAAAGACATTTGATGAAGATTTTTATGCTTTACTGTACTGCTTTGTCTGCAAGTGATTGTTTAAAGGCTCAAGCCCTCAACTGTTAGGTGTATTCCAGCCTCTGTACAATGATTCTTTGGTTATCAATATTTTAACTTGCTAATATTTCTGCTATTATTGTTATCCATACTTAGCCTTTACTAAAATATATGAGCATGTGGAAAGGATGATGATCATCTCAACAAAGCATACAGAAAGAGACCAGGAAGAGAAACAATTTGATTAAATTATGTCATAGTGGAATAATATTACAATAATACAAGTTCAGTATTTTTTAAACAAGTTACCGGATACAGTATTTACAAGTTATCTCTACAAACATTACAACATTCTACTAATTTCTAATATAACTACCTTCTAATTTTTAGAAAATAGACCAAGTAATCAAGATTTAAGAAAACTAAAATATAAATGATAATGAATTCTGATACCCTACAGGTATCCCTCATTTCAGATGGGTTAAGTTCCTTGAAAACCATTCAAAAACCATAAAAGTGAAAAATAGGGTTCAGTTTTCCGACAACAAAACTCAAATATCCCCCCCCCCCCCAATGAACTCCATTCATGAAAAAAAAATTACCTAACTACCATTTAGTGTAATTTAGTACCTTGTTACTGTATGATAATTGCTAAACTAAAAATATTTTGTCCAGTTGGTACATTGCCTTATCAGAGGGCTCACCTTGGGGAGGGTTAATTTGAACTGCGATAAAATTTTGATCAGACCATCTTGTGGATAAGTAATGAATATTTTTGGATAGTGCAAAAAAGTGGTGTAAGAATAAAAAATTTGGATAGTACACATTCAGATAATGAGGGATACCAGTACTGTACAAGCTTAAGTAAATCTAGCCACAACATAATCAGTTACTTAAGGTACACCAGTGATACTCAGAAAAACCATCATTCACCTTCTTCAGTATGGATAATTGTCTTGCATTGAACTTCACACTTGCCTCCCAATTTATTATTTCCCTTATTTTCATTTGTTATTCTTAACTTTTTTGTGATTATATCAAATGACAAAAAAGTTCAATTGGTACAAAATAATTTTAACTGTTTTATTTATTATTATTTTTTTTTTTTTACTCTTATGATGGAATTTTTACGGATATATTTATTTCAATGCACTGAAAGTAAACCTGGCAGGGAATCATGGAAATGTTAGCGGTGACACTACAGTAAAACCCCATAATTCATACACCTCTAATTCAAAATCACTCTTAATTCGTAATGTTTTTGATACAAAATATAAACAGGGGTATCACAATTTTCGAAATATTTGGTAAAATTTTGAATTATGAGACGATTATATATGACGCATATGTTGCCATGAGATGGGACCGCCTGCCCCAGTGTAAAAAAAAGTACAGGTACTATACGTGTCATGTGTGTCGGTCACGGTCAGTTCATGTTGGTAAGTCGTGGAGTGTACATCTACGGCGCAAACTTTTTCCACTTGTTTTTCCATCTTTGCCCTAACTTGTAAGGGCTAGAGCCCCTATACATATTTGGAATTATGGGGTTTTTTACTGCACAGTATATATGAAGCACACTAGATATGTGGTCTACACTGTACATATATAAACAGTTTTCACACCAATTTTTTCTATTCATCTACAAGAATTTCATTCTATTGGATAAAACTAATATATCAAGAATCCAGCAAAAAATTAATAAATAACCAGTTTATTGATACACATGGCTGCTCATAGATCTCATGTGATAGGATTTATCAGCCACCTTTCTACACAGTGATTACAGGCATAGATGATGTAGGCATGCACACAGCATTACAAACTTTGTGAATTTTGATATTTGGGATCACTGGGTAAAAATATACATCTTTGCACGGTGGTAGCAATCTCCGTTCACATGCAGAGGTCTGGGATTTGATTCCCGACTAGTGAGATATTGTTTGTATATTGAAGTCTGCGTGCTAAATGGACTGATGAGATATACATCTTCATAAATACATTATGCACTGGATGAAAAAAGACTAAAGCTGTGCCTGTGAAATTTATAATGGTAGAAGGGCAAAATGTATTCCCATTATTATTTAATGACTTTACTGAGCTGAAGAAATTCATGTACAAAAAAGTGTTAATGACTCAATATTTAAACATAGCTAGATAAAATATGCTACAATATATGACTTGTGGACACTGACACCATACCTTTGCAACTCACTTAGGTATTTTCTTGAGATGCTTCAGCTCATGGGTGAGCCAAATAGCAAAGGAGAGAGTGAGAAGAGAGCCAGACTGATGCAAGGCTGCTAGTCCAGTTGGCACATACAACAACAGTGTTGAGATGCCCAGCCCTACCTGTGGATAACAATACAATACTGTATATGAAAATCATAAAAAAGTGCTACACTGAACTTTTAATGGGGGTAACAATACTGTACAAGGTGTTCAACAGTTTAATATGAGATATCTACTTAGGTCGTAGGAAAATAAATACTGATGCACAAAGTCCAGTGCAGTACAAAAAATGGTAGTGTTGCAAAAAAGACAACTGGAGCCTGAGCAGCCCTAACACCATGATTACCAATAGTCATGAATATCTTTGTTTACAGCCAGCCTCCTACTTCTCTGATGGTCCACCGAACTCAGTTCCTTATTGAGTAACTTGAATGTCAGTACAGTAATGTACCTTGTACATTTGTTATCAGTCCAACACATGTGTGAGTTTTGGGTGGATATTTTCTGCCCCATCGCAAATATCATGGAGTGGCCGTAATAATGCTATATATCATCCTTAGAAATTTCACATTGTTCAGTTACTTTACAAACATCATGATGGAAGGACGTTTATTAGAACATGTATTTGTAAACAAGAGTGAAAGTGGTGTGTTTGATACACTACTGTACAGTACAGTGACCCCTCCGTTAACGAACTCAATCCGTTCCAGAAGGTCGTTCGTTAACCGAAACCATTGTTTCAATGGGTTTTTGGGTAATTGGTTCCAGCTCACCGAAAATTTCCTAAATTCAACAAAAATGGTAGAAAAGTTCACTTACTTTCAGGTGTGTATGTAGAAGGCCCCTGGATGATGATGATGATGATGGGATTTAGAATGGGGGTGGAGGAGAAGGGAGAAGAGAAGGCATTGGGGTGGAAGAGAAGTCACCCCATGGCACCATTTCACCCATAAAATTTTAGTTCTCTTGGTGTAATTCAATATTATTTTCTTTAAATCAACACTGCACTGCATTATATATTGTCAACATGTAAAATAAATTTCAAAATGACCAATAATTTGCTTGCAAACACAGAAAAAAAGCATTTAGTTGAAGAGAGTCTCAAGCAAGATGTTACCTCCACTGAAAAGACACAAAGACTGATGCCTGTATGCTGTGTTGGCAGGCTGGATGGCGTGCCACAAACTAGTGACCCTACCTTCAATTATGTTCAATAATTGTTAAAATGACTAAAAAATTTAATACTAAACTTTTAAAATTATTGAATAGTATAAACTTCTTGATATTTAGTAAAAGGGTAAGGAATTTAAGCCCTAGAACCGATTACTGTATTGGCGGACTAATACTACAGCTGGTGGACCGCCAAATGCAAGCTAAAATATGTGGAGGTCGGCTCGTAAGAAACTCGTTAATCGAGGGATTACTCATTAACCGAAATTAAGAATCTTATGGAAGGTAACTTGTTAACCGAGGGACCACTGTACTGTGTTGACCAAGGGGTGCTGGCAAACCCCAAACCTTGTATGGCCAAAACTGTGTAGTAGGAGGGTCAACTGTGCTCCAAATTCTGCCAAGTACAAAACTTTGGTTAACAAAACATCTTTCTTAAACATTATTTCTTCCTAACCTATGAGTGAGCTCCACTGATTATTTTTTGCTAATTTATGAAAACAATGTAATGAAAACTTACTTGCATCCAAACCATTGCACCAAGAGCTGTGGCAGCAGTATAAGCACGTGGAGGCAACTTCACTCCTCTTCGAGACCAGATCATTAGGGCTGAGGCTAAGCAGAGTGAAGTAGTTCCCTTAAGAAAAAATAAATACAGTAGTACCCCGATTTACGCGGTCAATTGAACCCACAGGGTACCGTGTTAAGTGAAATCCGTGTAAATGGAACAACAGAACATATGGGATTAATTCCAATAGAGACTGGCCCGACCCCCAAACTCTACTTTTTCCGACACAATACCTATGTTCTAGTAAAAATAACATCTTAATTTTATGATGGTACATGCACACAATTAATACTTAAGAGAAATAGAGAAATACAGTCGCCAAGTTAATGTTCACTCAAATAATGGACTCAACTCCCTCCCCCTCTTCTCACACTACACTGCTGGCTCTTCCCTCTTTGAGAAATTTTGGGGGGAAAACCACTAGATTTTAATAAATAATACCTCAAACTAAAGTTAGGATAATATAATTGACATTGCTGGATTCCTTGTAAGACCAGGAATATTTTGAATATAAATGTCATATATTTTGCACAAAAGATCACATATTTACTCAGAGTAAACATTATATCTAAAATTTGTATGTCTAATGCAAAATCTATGATGTTTATATTCAAAATGATCATCATATTGTAAGAATTCCAGCAAAGTAAATTATATTCTGGCCGGGTAATTTGTATGAATTTTATGAGCTAAATAAAAAAAAAAAAAATATTATACTTCACCGCGTATATGAGTAGATGAACCGCGTTAAGTGAAAGTTCGGTTCTGGCGAGGCACCGCGTATATGAGAAATAGTGTTAAGTGAAACCGCGTAAAGCGGGGTAATACTGTACAATGTAGATAAATTTTATCAATCAACCAATTAAGAGTATCAAATGGGAGGAAAATTTACCAAGCCTCTTTAGAAGAAGTTGATTACAGGAAACAAAAAGATGAAGAAAGTGCTCTACTGTACACTCCTCGCCATTGCATTATGCGCGAGGTGGCCGACGGGAAGTGATCTTTGCTGAAGTGTCTCACATCCCTTCACGCCAGCCAGCTGGAGCTGAGGCAGGCATTGTATGTCTGGCAGCGAAAGGAGACTCGAGGACAAGTCAGCCAGCAATCAAAGCATAAACCAGTTGCCCGAGTAAATTTTGTGAACAAAGATTTATGATTTTTACCCCCCCCACCCCAACATTGCCACAATGCCCAGTTTCTTTGCTTTTTTACCACAATGGGCAAGAGGAAGATTTAACAAAAGAGCAGATAGTGTCAATTATTAGTCTGCATAAGGGCACGAAACCTGTAAAGGAAATATCAAGAATTATTGGTATGAGTGAATGATGAGTTCAGATTTGGATTAATGATTTTGAGATGACAGCGGGTTGGCAATACCAGTGCACAGTGGACGGCCAGGGAAGGCTCGAAAAACTTTCCAACGCACGTTTACTGTTCTTAAGAGGCAACTTGATGCTAATCCACGTCTGTCAGCAAGGGAATTGAAAGAAAAAAATATACTTCTAGGTGATGTTTCTGTAAGAACCGTTCACCACCGCATCCATGATGACTTGCAATTTCGCAGACACCGCGCACGCAAAAAGCTACACCTCACCCTTGGTCAGAGGCAGCGTACGGTCGCTTTTGCCAAGGCTAATGCTCAGTGGGATACGACCAAGTGGCAGCACGTGCCGTGGAGTGCTGAGGCAACGTTTTCTTTAAATGGAAGTCGTACTTTTAATGTGTACAAGCACCCCGGGAGTGATTGACTTGACCCCAAGTTCACTTTTAGCACAGTTAAGCATCCTGAGTCACTAATGGTGTGGGGTTGCTTCTCATACTTTGGAACTGGTGATCTTGTTGTGCTACCTAGGAATGTGATGATGAACCAATTTAACTACTTTGAGTTGCTTTGTGATTATTTGCTCGGGTCTTTTGAAAAATGCCGCGCTGATGTGTTTATGCAGGATGGCACCCCATATCACACAGCAAAATTTGTAATACAATGGCTTGTTGACTGTCAGGTAAACTTCATAAGTAATTAGCCAAGCAATTTGCCTGACCTCAACCCGATAAAAAATAAGTGGAGCATTATCAAACTTCATCTAAAAGGCAAGGACACAAATACCGTCCCCAAGCTGGAGGCAGTCATTCGTGAGGAGTGGAATAATTTAGACCCATAAGTAATCCACAACTTGGCAGAGTCAGTTCCTTCACACCTGCAGGAGTGTATCAAGAGAAAACGGAGGCCTATAGACTACTGGAAGTTTGTTAACTTCTCAGATTATTTTTTTATTAATATTTCATCTTATTGTTTATGTCCGTCATGACCCCGCGCATAATGCAATGGCGAGGAGTGTACATCTTATTCATCCTCCATATAAATTAGGTAAGACAAAGTGAATAGTACACGAAGACTTCCACAATGACTTAGCACTTCATAATTATGTATGTCACAAAAGGAAATACTGTATATATGAATCATATGCTATATGAACAAAGAAGCATCGAGTGGAATTTTGATTGTAAAATCAATCCTGTTTTACTTTTAACCAAACATAGGTCCATCTTTCTAATCTCACCATGATCCTGTGGTCAAATTGCACTGTGGTGGGGTTTTCAGTAAAGTTCCTTAGTGTAGGACTAAAAGCCAGTAGATCACTGGGAATCCATCTATCAGCCATTTTTGGAAAAGAGTTGTATACCAAGCCAGCATCCAGTCCCGCCACCAAAGCCCCTGAAACAAAGCATAACTTTTGAACTCTTCTTTTATTAAATATGTGAATAAACAAATAATCATAAGAACATCTTCATATCTGGCATTATTGTCACATTAATATAAAATTGTATACTGTACAATTAACTCGTGAACTAGGGCTCTGAAGACAGAGTTTTCATTCCATTTAGACCTTTCTGTTTCATTCCAAGAGTTAGAGGATCATATTTTTTTTTTTACCTTTACAGCAAAACTTTACTCCTGATGTTATACAGCATATGTCACAAACACATGGGGTCCAAAAAAAAAAAATCAAATTACATCATGGAATTTTCGTCCCACACCAGATTGGTTCAGGGTACAGTATACAGTACACTACTTTTTATAGTCTGTAACAAGACCTTATAAAACGACCCCAAAGGACGTACAGTACTGTAGTACTGTACTGTTCTCAAAACTTCCCAAAAAAATAAAAAATAAAAAATTTACACAAAGTTTGCCTTAAACACTTTCCTGATCTACATGAAGGAGCTGCTCCAAATACCAAAGGTGAACCAAGCGTGGGCTACACCCACCCAGAGTGCAGAAAAGTTTATGAACATTTTAAGTGTGTGAAGTTATTTTCAGTCATGCAGTTATTTATTTACTCTGTATTTGTTTGTAAATGAGTGTTCTATAATATTAAAAAAAAGAGAGAAACTAAATTGTTGATAAAAATAAAAACTAATTGAAAATATTTATCATTACTGTATTCCTATATTTACACCTCTAAATGTTTCTGAATAACAGACGTATCTTTCACTTCTTTCTTTATATCATTTCCTTTCCCTTCCATATTGATAATGGCAAACAACACTGTAAACTTTATGAACAACTAACGCATCTCTTACGAGACCTTGAACAATGAGTGGATGAAGAGGCTGCCTGCCACCTACCAATACATGCATGCACTCTCAAACACTACCATACAAAACAGCATGCTCTGGAGAGCTTTTCTGTGCCTAAAGCCAAATAAATTGACCCATTTTTCAATCTTCAGCATATTTCTAAAAAGGATGACAAAATACTGAACTCTGCATAACTTCTTTGGAGTCCAGCATCAGTCTTGGATAGTACCAACACAGTACAGTAATATAATTTACAGTTGTTTTAATAATCCACACCCAACCATCCATATTTTTTTTTAAACTGGCTAGCCAATGAGCCTACTGAATCCAATCAACATTACTGTACAGTACTTAATTCTAGTGCCAAGTGTTTGTACTCGACTACTGTACATCTAACTTCATATACAGTATTAATAAAATTTTTACCCATTCAACTACAGTGCAGTACAGTATACAAGTACTGTAATACATGGCTAACAATGCATCTAAATCATCAGTGAGAGAAAAATAAAAAATGAAACAAGCTTCCTTAAACTATCAATGATAGTGTTGTGTTGCACAGTACAGTATTATAGTACATATATTAAATTTTTTATAAACCTAACCTATCCTTTTCCTTATGGATGGACACTGGATATAGGTTGAGTGTTCTATTTCTTTATTTACACTATTAATTCATTGTAATAATTATTTACGTATTCTTATATACTGTATTATTACTTACAGTAAGTGCTGTACTTTAATAAGTAATTTTCAGGACTTTAGTTTACAGTTTATATTATTTTTCTGGGTATTGATAATAAGAAAACTTCAGTCCTAAGCAATTCAGAGTACAGAGACCTTACTGTCGCATATACTGCAAGTTCCACATTTTAAGCATATGAATAATATACAAAATACTGACCCACAAAGGTTTAACAGTTGTAAGCTCACTAAAACAGATTTCAAAATACAGGAAGCAATGGACGTTAATGGCGATGGCATAATAAATGCTTGATCACTAGTTTTATACTTCAACACAGTGTGATAATGTATACTACACTGTATTGCAAATACAGTACATGTTACTTAAAACCCAAAGTAGACAATAGAAATACCATGGATTAACAGAGAAATTCCAGAAATTATATGACTTACCTGAAAGAGCAGTGATAAAGACCCAGCCTTTAGTCATGTGAGCAAGCTTACGGAACTTCATTGCTTGTGCAGTTACCTGGTATATGGCAAGATTATCATTACTGGCTATCCTTAATTCTCATTTCTATATAACAACATTAATTCATAAATCTATAATGCTTACAAATGATAATGATTATTTAACTCTTTGAAATATATATCCAGGGCCAGATTCAGGAATGGGCAAAGTGGGCAGCTGCACAGGGTCCTCCACATATTGCAATATTTTATTTATTTGTTTATTCATTTGGATTATTTTTATTTTCATTCTTTAAAATTCATGTTTATCTATTCCATCACGTAAAACTATGTTCAGCAAGAAGCGTGATAGAAATTAGGCTAGCTACTCCTTGAAATTCATGAATACCTGGTTTTCCTATGAACCGTATATTTTTAATGAATGCTATTGTTTTTGTTGCTAATAATATATTTAGAATTCCACAAACATATATTGATTAAAAATGAACTACATGGAATAACGAAATTGAGATTAAAAAAAGCAAATAAAATATTCTTTTCATTATCGCTTCCATTACGAATGCCATCAGGGCGCTGTGTTTGTTGACAGTCAGTCGGAGGGGGTTGGGTCGTGTAGTATCTGCACATCGGTTCTCATGTGTCTGTCGATTAAAGAGGAGACTTGCGTCGCCCATGATTCGTGAATTTCCCACGAGTGGACATAAACATGTCTTGCAGATGTAAAATGAGAGAGAGAATTGTCATGTGCTTGTTGAGTGAAGTCGTCGTCGCTTGGTGATGAATGATCTTGTCAGTTGTCATTTCCTAGAACATGTCTTGCAAATGTACAGTGAGAGTGCGAGTGAGAGAGAGTCGATTGACGCTTGTGCTTGAGTGTGGGTGGGTGTGCTCTTAGAATATACGTATTCACATATATAATTGTGCTTCAAGATACTACAGGTCGATTAATAATGCAAAGAATCATCTCTCTGTAATAACTAATAATATATTCTTTTCTGTGAAGTCTCTTGAAAATTTTTGAGACATGTGCGGTAGTAGCTATATCAGGGCTGGTCGACTTGAAACCACATGAATGACTCCAGTCATGTCTCACTTTTGTGTGTGTGTGTGTTGGAAATTTGTACACTATCAATAAACATACAGTTAATTAAAAATTTCTCAATGTTCTAATTTCCTCAATATAACTGCATATGGCTTCAAAATTCTCCAAAGAAGTGTTCAAATTTCAAAATTTTCCCGGGGGGCACTATAAGCCCCCCGGAACTCCCAGATGCTTAGGCTCACTTCACTCGCCACCCCACCCTCTTGGGTAGTTATAATGAGGGGGGGGGCCTCCACAAAGAGGCTGCCCATGGGCCTCCACAGGTCTAAATCCGGCACTGTATATATCATAAAAATGAACTTAAATTGCATTCCAATATTTATATCTCATACATCGTTCTTACAATCATTTCAGTCATTAAAAAGGTGATAGCCATATCAGATATGCCTACCCTCCCACTGCTATCAATTATATTAGGTCCCACAGCTGCCTTCTTTACCAGTCAATACCTCCCTAAAATATTATGTTTTACAGATAAAGTACAGTACATTAAGACTCACTAAATGGGAGGAGGGGGGCCAAAGAAGGGTAAAGTTAATTGATAGTACAGTAATTCAAAACAATGAGTAAAATTTACACATGGCTTTAAGGGCATCCACACAACAAACACTACCGGTAGTGTTGCCAAGATAGTCACAGAGGTGGTAGGTATGACAGTGACAGGTGGTGGGCAGGACAGTGACAGGCGGTGAACAGAAAAGTGATGGGTGGTGGACAGAAGAGTAAAGGGTGGTGGACAAAAATATTGTAAAATTTTTCAAAAATTGGCTAAGATGTGTGTACAGTATATTGTTCTATGTGGAGAGTGGGTTGAAAGTACACATCCATGCCCTGGGCTCTATATACTGTATATTGCTGGAAAAGGTACATACATGCTGTCACAATGTGAGAGATGTCTGACCATCCAGCCTAATTTTGATTAAGGTCAAGTTATCAAGAGGATACTTGAATTTTGAAATTTATAAAAATGTTAGAATTAAATTCAATAAATCAGGATTAACCAAAATTTGATCCAATGAGATTGTTCTGTACTTAAAAGCAAAGGATATGTGACAGTCTCACATCATTCAAACTCCAATCTTTTACCCTTTACTCATTCGTCTGATTTTCTACAACACTGCCCACCAGTAACTTATCCTAACCAATACCCTTAATCACGTATTTGTCTTACCTGTTTAATTTGCTGTGCTGGATAGGTCACTCCAAGAGCATTCCACAGAAAAAGGCTATATAGAACAAAGGCAGACCCAAGATGAGCCGTGAGACGATACTGTGATACTCTTGGAACATCTGAAGGTTCCTTAAATCGGTGCTCCTCCAGGCCAGACTTGACCATGTACCATCCTAGAAGACCCTGTCAAGAAAAAAGAAAACACGTTGAATCTTTTTCATCCACATAAAATTTATCCTGCTGTGGTGTGGAGTTACTGGGCAGGTACTGTACTGATCTGATTCATAACCATTAGCTGCAATTTGCTTACCCCACAGCCTTAACAAGATGCTAGTCCACCAAACAATTGTTCCACCATTGCTCTGGTGAGTGTAATCAATAGTGTAATCATCTGCAGGTGTACTGTACAAGGGAGGAACCCAATCCTCCACCCAGCTTGAACATACACCTGAGAAACAATGCTCCATCAATTTTATCATTTAATATAAAGTGCATAAATAACTATCATAATTATAAAAAAAAAAATTAAACCTTAATTCACCCGAGAGAAAATGCCAAATTTTTTTCATTACATTGATATTTTAAAATTTCTAGGATGGAAAAGTGTATATGTAGTAATAAGGAGGTATATATTTTAAACAGCTGTTTTCTATAAGAAATTGGTTATGCTTTGGGATAAAAACACAACAACTGAATAATTCAGAAAAAAGCACTTTTTGACATATTTATACTGTAGTTAAATTTATATTACATATAATACAGTTCTGTATCTTATCACCTATAACTCTGGGAAGGAACAGTGTCACCGTTTTATTAGACAAAAATAAATCAATAAGTGATTCTTTTACCTGAAATCCAATAAGAACTCCACATGCTATCACTCTTTTCTTCATGGCCCGAGTGAACCAACCCTTCTGCCAAAAGTAGGCAGCTGGCAACAAAAAGAATGCCCCAATAGTGCGACCCCATTGTCTGTGTCCATACTCCATCCACCAGATGAACTTAAATTCTTCTAAGGATATATCTTTGTTTTTTCTGCAAAAGAAATGAGTGATCAGTAACATATATGAAACAAAATGATAAAAAAGAATGCATAGAAAACTGTACTAGACAGAAAAAGGCACAAAGAAAATCATACAGGAAAAATACATTGAAATACAGGAAAAACACAACAGATACACAGTGCTGGTAATCAGAAATGCAAAACTCATGGGATTCAGTAAGAGGGAACACACATGAGAAACACGGTGCAGCAGCTTGGTAAAATCTGAGTGTTTTGGTGGTAATCTGCCAGTACAGTACATGTACAGGTAGTTCTGCTATAACGCGATAATTGTGTTCTTGTAAAATATCGTGTTATAGAAAATCGCGTAATAGAAATAACAGGGCTTATGGAGAAAATAGGGTTAGGTGCAGATTACTCGAAATCGAAAAAATTTAGTAGTTAGCCTAACACAAAGGATAGCACAGTCTAAATAAATGTTACATTCATATCTAATAATGAAATCATACAGTAAATGTAACACTTTACTTGATGGGGGAGAAGGGTGATTTTGAGGTTGATAAAATCGAGCTTCTCTTCAAGTGTTATATCCTTTCTTTTACGATCATCACCGGGAATTCTATCACCAGAACGCTTCTTGTTGATATTCTTCTTTACTATATTCACAGTTAATACTGTACCACAAAATTGGAGAAATAGTAAGCGTTATAGCAAACAAGCGTTCGCGTTATACAAATATCGTTCCTAATTCATAAATCGCGTTAGAGCAAATTCGCGTTATCAAAACACGCGTTATAGCAGAAATCACTGTATGAGCAAGGCAGAGGTAGATGAAATTCTCAGGATCCATATTAAGGTTTCAAGTCTAAAGAAAAATTGTAACAGAATACCATGAACAATGCAGTATCCTTTGAAGTGCAATGGTACAGTACACTCGCTTTTAAAAATATCTTTATTATTTCGTGAGCCAATATGACACAACGGGCGAAGGATTTTGACAACCCAACCGAGACAACAGGAGTCGCAGTCTTCACTCTGAAATTCATCGAACCCCTCCTTAAAGATGCATTTTTAATAAAGTGTTCGTGGGAATTGACTGTAAACCCTAGGAGGTGGCATGCTTAAATTTTCATATTAGTAATATGAAGAACATTAACAATTACCATGATCAAACACAAAAATGTCTACACAGTTTCAAATATGCAGACATAATACAGTATAATTAGGTTACTTATGATCAATACTCATTCAGTCAAACAAATAACATCTACTGACAATTGTTTACTAAAATCCAAAAGATATTACAAGATATACAAATAACTAACAAAACTTTCTCCTCCTTTGGTTCAGGACATTTCATTCTAATACATTTACAAGGAGACTGATGTATTGGTTCTTCTTTATTAATGAATCAAATTCAAAAGTATAGTCTACAATATATATACAGTAATGCCTCGAATAACGACGGTAATGTGTCCTCCAATAATGCAGTGTAAGGGGAATCATCGTATCGTGAATCATTAATTACCATTAAAATAAAGCAATAATAATGAGATGTGTTCCAAAGTCTGACCTTTTCATATCTTTTGTGTGGCGTTTTACCCTCTTTTCCCCCAAAACAATAATATTAATTTATAATGCAAACTATGTTCTTTTAGTAATGTTTATGAATGCACCTTATTCAATATAAATCAATAATAATATGGTCACACAAGAGGAGATGGGACTCCATTGTTTTCCTTGTGGTTATCAGCATATACCTGGATCATGCGCACCTACAGTGATTTACTTGCATATATATATATATATATATATATATATATATATATATATATATATATATATATATATATATATATATATATATATATATATATATATATATATATATATATATATATATATATATATATATATATATATATATATATATATATATATATATATATATATATATATATATATATATATATCATGTAAATCACAATAGCGTGTTTAAGATAAATCTTGATAAAATCACGCGGGAAAATGGAAACAAGTACCTTAGCTTTTCTATTCAAGACATCTTCAGAGGCAACTGGATTACATGGACAGAGAGAGGCTTAAATATACAGGGTGACCTAAAAACATGAGGTCAGGTCATAATGATGACATCCACAATCCCCACACCAACATACACGTAGAGGAGCTTAAGAGAAGGGTGATGACGTGACTAGACAGGTCAGGTCAGAAAAAAGGGACCCACAAAATAACTCTGCCCTATCGTGATGAATTTGTCCCGTTAGTTCGGTCCCTCAAGCTTCTAAATATTAATGTTGTTTTCAAGTATGACTCAACCATTACCAATATGTTAATAAGGAATAGCCCAAGTTTGAATGTAAATGGAAGTGTGTATTGTATTCCATGTAGCAAATGTAATTGTAATTATGTAAGTCAGACAGGAAAAACACTGCAGCGTAAAAGGGTACACACACCGCAATAAGTGAGCATTCCCTGTTCGGCATGATACCGCGTAAACGTGTAATGTGGGTCCGTGTAAGCGACACACACACACACACACACACACACACACACACACACACACACACACACACACACACACTACATCCTTGACCACCGAAGGGTCAAGACGTACCTGGCGCTCCTCTCGGAGCAGCCAGGTTAACTGTTAAGTTGGCCCATACCAACTCCCTCCCCTGAACCCTCCTCCCCACCGGATAGAATATTATTGTAATACAACAGTAGTGACGATGTGGAGGAGGCGGAGGGATAGAGCGGGGAGGAGGTGACTGGCGGGAGCAGGGACGAGTGGAGATGCCAGCCAGTACATTACGGGTGTATAAATTGTTTTTATGGCTATTTTTACATTTTAATATTAAATACTGTACATTACGTTTCAACAAAACTACCATTTATTTCTAAGAACATGGAAATGTAATATTTTTGCTGAAATGATGTACGTATTACAGTGGAAAGTGGGATAAAATTGTGACAAATGCAATGACTTTCTATTTCTTTCGTTCAAAAGATGTTACCGTAATCGCTTTTCGAATGGTTTTCAGTTGTGGGATTATAAGGCTAATGATAGGATAGAATATTATTGTAATACAGTACGAGTACAACAGTTTTTTAACTGAAAACCATTCGAAAAGCGATTACGGTAAAATATTTTGAACAACGAAAGAAAGCGAAAGTCATTGTTTTCGTCATGATTTTATCCCACTTTCCACTGTAATATGTATGTCATTCCAGCAAAAATATTACATTTCCATATTTATTTCCGAGAATATATTCATTCAGTCACAGTTAAGGTAAAATATACTTGTGATGTAATATTTTAATGAAAATACGGTATCGTAGTTTTCTTTTGTTTCAAATTTAATTAACAAAGATTGATGTTTCAAATGTAATGAAAAAAAATTTATGTACAGTATCTATAAATACACTTTAATAAATGAATACTTTACGTTTTACATCGTCCTGTGCTACCATACCATGGATTTGGCTACTTTGGGCTTGCTATGATGACGCAAGAGATCTGCCCTGGCAATTGTACCGACACTCACAGCTGGTGGTGCGTTGGTGCATCGTTTCCATTGTTTACTGGTAGTTACTGGTAAATATTTTTCAACATAACGAAACTATTACCCGTTTAGAGGTCAACCCCCAATTTTTTGCCAAATAATTTGGTCTTGAAAACTCAAACTACACACAGGTATATACGGTAAATAAGAACGTGGGGGGCCAGGGTAATTTTTTGTGGGGGCAGCAAAAATACTTGATTTTTAACATCCGAATTATCTCTGTTCACGTAACCCAGCGTATGTTAAGGGCCGACTGTATACAGTATATACAAAGGAGGGTGAGATCAGGTTCACAATGGTTATATATATATATATATATATATATATATATATATATATATATATATATATATATATATATATATATATATATATATATATATATATATATATATATATATATATATATATATATATATATATATATATATATATATATATATATATATATATATATATATATATATATATATATATAAAATTGGATCTTTCCTACAGTAAAGGGAAAACACTTACAGCTTAAACTCAGGATAATCTTGATACTGAGAAAACTCACGCTCCCATTCAATTTGGGAGATTGGCGGTCTCTTGCCAAACAAATGCCAGTCAGTCATTGACAAGCCAGATTCTGTTAAACGTGTTAACCCACCTGTAAAGAGAGGGAAACTCATTACTGGACAGTAGCTATGTGTAATGTACAGTATTACAATAGAGAGGTTAAAGATTTGGTAATTATTCGGATAATGACCGTCCGCTGTTTCTCATTGAAAATGAGTTGGAAAATACCCAATTTTCATTAATTGTACTAGGGTATACTGCATTATGTTTGGAAAAATGTAAAAATGGCTGAAATCATGTGCTAACCAAAACAAACCTAAGAAATCCCGACCTAACCTAACCTATATCTTAACTTACCTATATCTAGAAAACTAAGCATTTATACAAGAAAATGAATAGAACTGAAAGTAATCACCATATGAAACTGTGTCTAAAAACACTCTCGTAATTACCGAACCACTGACGGCCTTGGTACATTGTTCACATCTGCCGCATCACAGCTGATGAAACGACTGAAAGATGCTACAATATCTTAACTCATCTATACAGTGGTCCCTCGGTTAACGAGCGCCTCGGTTAACGAGATTTCGGTTAACGAGTTACCTTCCATAAGATTCTTAACTTCGGTTAACGAGCAATCCCTCGATTAACGAGTTTCTTACAAGCCAACCTGAACATGATTTCGCTTGCATTTGGCGGTCCACCAGCTGTAGTATTAGTCCACCAATACAGTAATCGGTTCTAGGGCTTAAATTCCTTACCATTTTAGCAAATATCAAGAAGTTTATACTATTCAATAATTTTAAAAGTTTAATATTAAATTTTTTACTCATTTTAACAATTATTGAACATAATTGAAGATAATGAAACTAGTTTTATGCGTGCCATCCAGCCTCTCAACACACCATACAGGCGTCAGTCTTTGTGTCTTTTCAGTGGAGGTAACATCTTGCTTGAGACTCTCTTCAACTAAATGCTTTTTTCTGTTTTTGCAAGCAAATTATTGGTCATTTTGAAATTTATTTTACATATTGACAATATATAGTGCAGTGCAGTGTTGATTTAAAGAAAATAATCTTGAATTGCACCAAGAGAACTAAAATTTTATGGGTGAAATGGCGCCATGGGGTGACTTCTCTTCCACCCCAATGCCTTCTCTTCTCCCTTCTCCACCCCCATTCTAATTCCCATAATCATCATCCAGGAGCCTTCTACATACACACCTCAAAGTAAGTGTACTTTTCTACCTTTTTTGTTGAATTTAAGCAATTTTCGGTGAGCTGGAACCAATTACCCAAAAACCCATTGAAACAATGGTTTCGGTTCACGAGTTTTTCGGTTAACGAGCAACCTTCTAGAACGGATTGTGCTCGTTAACCGAGGGACCACTGTATCTCGAAAACTAAGCATTTGCCCAAGAAAATCAATAGAAGTGAAAGTAAGCAGCGTACAAACTGTCTAAAAACACCTTCTATAATTACCGAACTGTTGAATGTCACCAGTTGTATATTAGCCCAAGATTTATCTAACTACCGCACTGACCCACTAACATATATGTCATTGTAAACTGTACTTGTTAAGGTGGTTCTAAGGAGAGCAATACTTAACAACACTAACACACAAATGATGATGCCACCTGCTTGCTAGTTCCCTCTTGCTTTCAAAAACACTCATATTATATATATTTAAAACACTTTTCACGTACAGTACAACACACTTGTATCAGTATTTTCAACTATTCTTATTCAAATTATTTCTTTATTCTTAATACTCTTGCAAATATGATAAGTTTGACTAACTGAAGTTACAAATGCTTAGTTTAAACTAAAATACTGTGCACCCAAAGATGGTCCTCAATTTACAAACATCCGTATTAACTCACGTGATCCCATTGTACTGTATTCATAACAAAAATCCAGCTCAACTTACGAATGCTTACTGGTACTTATGAATGCGGCACTACTGTACTTTGTTCAGTCGCACTCCTCCGTACATTACAAACCAGTGCCCGCTTAACACGAGAGATTACGTTCTTAAAAAAAAAGCCACATGTTGTGTGAATTCATGTTAAATAAATCCATAAAAAATCTATCGAAAGCTGTGTGAAAGGTGAGACATGCCTGTTGAAAGAGAGAGCATGCAGAGCAGGGCATGGGAGAGTTGCAGATGAAAAAAAAATCTGCAGACTGGTACCGGTACCTGTAAATATTTTATATTTACAATATACATTGTCCATATACTGTACAGTAAACCCTCAGTATTTCTCAAGATTGGGACTGATAATTGCAGCAAAATATAGTTCTATAATGGGGAAGATGATGTACAGTCTCTCTTCGATTTACGAAAGGGTTCCGTCCCAAAGACCAGGTCGTAAGTTGAAAAGGCGAAAATAATACATAGAAACTCTAAAATGGGTGTCTCTTTTTCTTCTCACCACCACGAGAACTCTCAATTTTACGCTTGCCAGCCAATTTAAAGGGAATTACAAACAAAAATTTTGTCAGTACACAGCGCAATCAATAACGTCGGGACTCGAAAATACATAATGTGAAAAATATTTTATACAACCATGGCCGTCGTATGTCCGGGTTGTCGTAAGTCGAGGAGAGACTGTACATGACCAGACTCAAAAACTACTGTACACCAAATATGCTTTTCAGATGTTTATTTCGGTAAACATAGGTAGTAGGTCAACACTGAGGCTCCACTGTCATATGTAAACTCTACGGGTATTCGCCACTTAACGAATGTGTTGCATTCCTGAAAATCTAGCGTTAAGCAAACTTACTGTTTAATGATAGTAAACGAGTTTGTTACAAAGATTTCAATGTTAAAAGATTGATTTGTTAACACTGAACTTTGAACTTCTATATAAACAATATGGTTCAGAGTTAAACAATTTAGTGAGCAAAAGGTGAGCCTAATTTGAATATTTTTTTAATTGCATACATCAAAAATAAAACAAAATTGCCAAGATAAACAATAAAATTGACACATAGGATATCCTAAAATACAATAACACATATTTCATGTACCAAAAGTAGCTCCTTCCACATTAAAACCATCCTCTGGACAACACGATGCAGTTCAGTTGTTATTTATAGTTCTTCATTATATTTTCTTTATTTCAAAGCCACATTTGAATACAGTACAGTATAGTATTCTTATGATTTTTCATGACTTTTGTCACGTGATCACTGTGCATGTAACAATGGCAAGATACCATCTCACAGGTCACCTCATCCCCAATTTTTTCCCCTTCCTCATGAATCAAGCTATCACTTAACTGAAATTTGACCTAACTTTAAGTAAGAAGGGGGTGTCAATTTTTTTATTGCTAAACCGAATTAACGTTAAGTGAATTAACACTAAATGAGGGAACCTGTTCAGGTATATAAACTACTGTATATACTGTACAGTACAGTATATTCCTGTCTTCTAATAATCTTTACTCAACACTGTATACAACAGCTAAAAAAATAGCAGCAATAAACTGAGAAAAAGCAGAGGGGAACCCAAGATAATCTACCCCTGACTGACTTACTGTACTAAAGACTAATTTGTCATCGGCCAGGTCACCAAGGAGGCAGCTGACAGTTACCAGTGATTATATGAATTAAATTTTACAAATTAATTGAGCACAATATTATCATTAATGACAACAAAGTTGAAAGGAATTATACCCCAGTATTTTACAAGGAAACTCTAAACAAAATAAGCAACGGGAAAAAACTACAACGAACAGTCAAACTTTAAGCCGTGGACCGGTGTCATGCGACAAATCTTCCGGTGCGAAAAACCTTCCGGGCTCGGCAATTACTGATGTTCATTATCGACATCTAAGATGTATGATTGATTTGAGGTTGATTTGTGAGAGCTGAAAATATAAATAAATACGGTAACGGAAGGTTTTGAATGAATTTCCCATTATGAACCAATCAAACCCAAGGAATCCTGACCTACCCTACTTAACCGATGGTGGAGGCTGATCATGTGTGCACCCCGTGAAGAAGTAAACAATGAACACTTAAGCAAACTGGAGAACCACCAAAGTTGTATGAATTTTACTAACTTTATAATTAAATTTAATACCCAAAACTAAGCATTTACCCCGGAAGGTTTTGCGCACGGAAGGTTTGTTGCACGACACCGGTACCAGTCAGCGGGCCATAGAGTGGGAACCACTGGTCTAGGGAATGTTCTGGGACGTATCTCAATTTATAACAGGCTTCTATGAGAAACTACAGTAATGTCCTTTAACATAAATTCGGTTAACTGGTTTTTCATAACTGCACTGTGTACATAAAAGGGACACTGACTGAAAATCTTGGTTTCAAACTACTGTTGTACAGCACACTAAGAGATCAAATAACTGAAGTGTGTGTGTAACTATACTCACCAATCACAACTGCTCCAAACACCATGCCTGAGCATCCAAAGAGCCATCGCCCCACCCACTTGTTTCCAACTTCTGGGATTTCATCAAAAGCTATTTTCTGAAGCCCCTTTCTGGCTATTGTGACTGTAGTTCGTTTCAAGTAGGGCTGAATTTGTGTTAACTGAAAATTTAAGATAAAATTAATAACTCTACAGTCAAAAAAATACAACTAAGATAAATGTATTCAATACCTTCAAGTTCACAAAAAAAATCACATGATAATTCTTAAGGTAATACTGTATTGTACTGTGTGTGCTTGAAGAGCGTGGCATGCCTTTACCACCAACTTAGCAAATATCTCCATAGAATAATTGACAAAAAGTGCACGAGGAATACATTTTGTGTAATACTGTACAGTAAAGGGTATTACTTTTACAACTTATTTACATCTTCTGTCTGTGGAGGCTGCCCTCTGCCATACTGTACTTTATTTCTTGTTTGCCAGACTTTACGAGTGATTGTTTTCAAAGATTTTATTTTAGGAAATTAAATTACAAGATAACTATAATTTTGGGTCAGGTTTGGTACCGTTGACCAGTGTGGCTCATTTTCATCTTCTGTAAAAATATATCAATGAAACGAACCGGTGTTCCATCTTGGAAACTTATGGCAACTGCCAACATTCCTTAAGTGAAGGAAACTGACGTACCTCACCTAAATTCCAGTTATCTTATATTTTCACCTCCTTGAGTAAAATTACTTTTAATGAGAAGAACCATTCTTGCATTATAAACATTTTGGTAATTATATTGGTTAAAATATTGTATACTCGAAAAATATAAATTTACAATGGAAACGTAATAGAATAAATTATTATCTTTTCTGTTTCACCCTATATAAGACTCAATAAACACAGAGGGTATTGGCAACAACTAAATACTGTACTCTGGTTGGTTATGTCAGGTTCTATTAGGTATGTTCTTGTACAGTAAATGTCACCTCATTTAAAATAATTAATATAATGATGAGAACATGTGGAAAAAATGAAAAAAATCGAATAACTCCTGGTAAAGATTCATTTTAGGTCACAGGGAATTTATTATTCCATTTATATAGGGAGAAATTGCAAAAAAAAAAAAAAATATATATTCTATTTAGTGTCCGGTGCAAATTTATATTAATAGAGTATTTTAACCGATATGAAACCCCAATTACAAACAATATTGGTTGTTCAAAGTGTGCAGGACTTTGAAGTAGGGAAAATGTGTGAAAAAAAGTTTGAAAACCTTAGTAGATAAATTGGCCACTAGGCTCACATTAGCAGCACTATGTTGTCTTGCGTGGTGATAAATCAATAAGGTACCCCAACCGATGCCCATTTTGTCCTACGCTCAGTGTATGTTCATGAACTGCTCAGTCTGGGCGGCTTCTCACGTCCACAAAAAACGTAAAATTACACTATATCACAGGATGTTCTTTCTGTTTAATATGCCGGGGGGTCCAGCGGGGGCGGAGCTCCACAGCTAGGAAGTTAGTTAAGATCAGGTAGGTTTCTTTGGTTGAGTTGGCGTGATCTTCTAACAATGCTTCAGCCACTTGTTTTTCTTATCAACAAGGGTTAGGTTAGATTTAATTTAGAAATTACCCCTTTTCAACACATTTGCCAAACTCTGAGTGTCCACTACAAAACACAATGAAATTGCGGCATTTTAAAAATACTTTTCTATGAAAAGTCGGCAGCGGGTATCTCATCAACAATGACAGTGGTTTCCTCAAACATAACCAAGTTATTGACTTACACCTTTAATAAAACGCAGTGGATATTTTGCCGTGACCAGAAGTTCCTACAAAAGCTACTTTGCTGTCAAAATGCTCTAGGTATTATTGCAATTTCAGCCCCAACTAGGTCAGAGCAATTTTGTGCTTATCATTAGTTATATCTCATCAATAGGAACAACTTTCTGATACCAATTCCGTCGCAAATGGATATTAACCGAGATACAGGGGGTCCGACTAATTACCCAAATGTACCCAAATGTAGCCGGAATGAAGTCAAATAATGGTCCTAGATGAATAAATCGGACTGCCAATCACTTCTCGACTAGTATTTGGTGTCAGAAAGTCACAAAAAATTGGAAAACTTACTTTAATCTGAGTTAATAGATCGCGTGCATGTACCGACGGAGCGAGGAATTACCCAAATGTACCCAAATGTAGTCGCAATGAAGTCAAATAATGGTCCTAGATGAATAAATCGGACTGCCAATCACTTCTCGACTAGTATTTGGTGTCACAAAGTCACAAAAAATTGGTAAACTTAATTTAATCTGAGTTAATAGATCGAGTGCATGTACCTAACCTAACCTAACCTAACCTAACCTAACCTAACCTCGACTAGTATTTGGTGTCACGAAGTCACAAAAAATTGGTAAACTTAATTTAATCTGAGTTAATAGATCAAGTGCATGTACCTAACCTAACCTAACCTAACCTAACCTAACCTAGCCTAGCCTAACCTAATCTAATCTAATCTAATCTAATCTAATCTAATCTAATCTAATCTAACCTAACCTAACACAACACAACTCAGATTAAATTAAGTTTACCAATTTTTTTTTACTTTATGACACCAAATAATAATCGAGAAGTGATTCACAGCCCGAATTACGCTTGTACGACCATCATTTGACTTCATTGCGGCTACATTTGGGTAATTCCTCGCTCCGTCGGTACATGCACGCGATCTATTAACTCAGATTAAAGTAAGTTTTCCAATTTTTTGTGACTTTCTGACACCAAATACTAGTCGAGAAGTGATTAGCAGTCCGATTTATTCATGTAGGACCATTATTTGACTTCATTCCGGCTATATTTGGGTACATTTGGGTAATTAGTCGGACCAGACCCGCTCAGCTTGAGCATACTCTCCGTCCACAAAAACATAAAAATTACACCATGATGCTTCAACAAAGTTGCTTTCATTGGAACCAGAAATCAATATAAATACTTAACGATCGACTCAAGGCGAAATAAATGCAAATGCCACCAGAAGCGATCAAATATAGTTCTTGCGTGGTTTGGCGGTAATGAAACGACATGCCAATTAGAGTGCACTTTTGGTAAAATAGCATTAGTAGGAACTTACTGGTCATGGCAAAATATCCAGTCATCTGTTTAATATGGCAGTGACAGATTGAAAGTTAGGTAAGGTTTCTTTGGTTGGTTAGAAATTAGAATGAATCACTATAATATTTCACTTGTTGCCACTACACGGACCTCGGGAATTATAGTTGCAATCAGTAGTTTTGACAATTCTAAGACACTTTTCTTCAATGGCATTTCTGGCGCAAATTAAGTTTAAGCGAGATATTTCACATTTTTTTATGTATGTTTGAACATGGCGGTACACACCAAGAACATGCCCTCCCAAGTTAGGTTAGGCTGATTAGGGTTTTGTTTTTACCATGGTTTTCGATGTGTTTTGAACACACATTTTACCTTGATTTTTATAGCAAATCTCTAGATTCTGAGATGGGAGGGAGGTCTTATCTCAAAAACTGTGCTTTTCCCCAGGCTCGCGGCAGTTTCATTTTCAGCATTACGTGCGAGGGTTGTCGCCGGTCTTCTATGGACGTAATTTGCGAATTTAGGGATAAAGACAACGCTACCCTTCAATTGTTCAAAGACCACGGCAGTTCCTTTAAATAGAGACTGTCCAATCAGGAGTTCGATCAATTTCAGCCGTGGGTTAGTTGTAAATAATTACCATCGGAAAAACAGTTTCAACTTCGATTTCGTATAGTAGCAACAAGTTAATTTTACCTGAATCAGACCAAATACCATGGAAAAACAAAAAATTATGGTCGAACAGTAGTTGGGGCTAAAACTTCAAATTTACCGCAGTTAGTAGGATCTTAACCTTAATAAAGGAATAAAAACACGGCCAAACAGGCACGTCTAATACTCACCTTAACATTCCTTGTAACTGGTATAAATCGGCAAAGTTTCGAAGCAAAACACAGTGCACTCATCTTATTAATGTTTGTTTTTTATATCTTGTATTATTATTTACGTCTTATTCAGGGGAGAGAAGGTTTGACTCAGAACTTTCCTACTTCACTGGCTGAGTCTGAGTGAGCCTTTCATAAGTCGTTACATATGTACCAACAACATTACCAAACTATTAATTACTTTCCAGGAGATTCAATAAACACACAATTATCTCTCCTGGTCACACAACCATCAAAAATTGCTAGATAAAGCCAGGCAATCTACTAATATATTACAAATAAAAGAAATTGGTGGGTTAATAACTGTGTCCGAGGAGTTTCTGTAACATTGTTAGTATACGTGTTGAGGTCGGTGACGTAAGGCAGCCTGCGAGATATCTACCCAAACAAAATAAGTCACACCACAAAATAAAAACACAAATAACAAGCGTTACATAAAGTGCGGTTTCAGATATGATTTAACCCTTTAATGAGCAGGGGCTACCCACAACTAAATAAAATCGTCTGGCATTAGCCAGAATAAAATAACCAAGGGATACTTAACCCTCTAAAGGGTTAATATCTTTACCTGAGTATATCCTGTGACTTGTTCATGGGAGTACTGATATATCAGTATAGGGATATGCCCCTATGCATGTTTCTACATTACTACTGTATAGTGAGGCTTATGTTGGTGTAAGGGGTGGGAGTACAGTAGTCCTTTGGCCAACGCTCTAGAGTGGCTTCTGCTAATTAGCTAGTCCAAATCCTGGATTATGTCTGCAGGAGGGGGAGCAGATGTAGGCATCTGATGAGGGGTGTGACACAGGTCCCACATCCCTACTTTACTTTACCTCAATCTACTATTTCCTTAAATTGTTTACCTCCAATCTCCCTCAATGTGTCCCCCCCTGTGATGGAGAATACACTGTGAGGCCAGAGGTGAGGCTAGGCCTAGATTACTTACTGTACTAGAGCTTGATTTATCCAGCATTTTACCCTTTTTTTAAACTTTTACTTAAAATTACTTTACTGTACAACTTTGACTCTTGGAGGGAGGGGGGGGGGGGTGGATCATGATCTGTTATATATAAATAAAACAGCTCAATTGTCAAAAACCAATATGAAGACTCAAATATCAGAAATTTATACCATTTAGACTATTAGTTATCCATCTGTCAGTAACTAGTCTTCTATCAATTTTCAAATGTTAAAAAGAGTCATTTCTTTATCCAAAAAATAAAAAGAATAAAAATAATATAACAATTGCAAGCAATATTAAATAAATGGCCAAACATCACAAAGAAGTAATCAAATAAAACTGGTGAATTCAACCATAAATGATATCACATTAATATCCACTTACCATAATTGGTAATTATCAACAAACCTGCAGTGTTAATTTGAGTACTTATACAGGAGTCAATTTGAATAATTGATTACTTGCTATTGTTAATATGATTACCTGTTGATTGCTGTTATCATTGACTGATAATTAATGTGAGTAACTGCTGATTATTTCAATGGCTTCCATTTTATTAGTCAAACAATGATATGAATTTATATTTCCAAATAAAATTCCTCAAAATCTGAATTTCAACAACTCAGATATTAATGAATTAACAATATTTAAAGGCTACAGCTTTATAAAGATTTATAAAGGAACCAAAAATAGCTAGTCAAATATCAAGTATTAAAACTAGGCTGAAAAAATAACACAAACCCACATATAAAGTATACTTTTATAAGATTTATTGTATACAAAATATAATATATACAGATATACTAGTAGAGTATTGCACATATGTTACATAAAGTTCAGCAGTATATAAATTATAATATATATATATATATATATATATATATATATATATATATATATATATATATATATATAAATTATAATATATATATATATATATATATATATATATATATATATATATATATATATATATATATATACACAAAATAAAATAGCAGATATGTTCATATAAACAAATAAATCTTTATAGGACACTTCTCACTTATCACAAACTAAAGTTCAATAAATGTTTAATATTTATCAGTAGATAATTATTATAAAAACTAACTTTAATGTGATCACATCATATGGCATTAAAATGCTTTAACACTGTACAAGTAGCACACTATATATAATATAGCCTGGGCTACAATGCCAACTTCCTCTTCTTCTCAGCAAAGGTCTTATTCTTCCCCTGGGACTTCTCAATGTTTGCTTTCACCTAAAACATATAATTAATAAAATAAAATAAAATAAAATAAAATAAAATAAAATGAAAACTAGTAATAAGATAATACAATTCTGTTAAAATATATTGACATCAGTGATGTTTTGCCAATTTACAATAATTATTTAATTATGTGCATGTATTTTTGTTCACTACATACAGCAGACAGCAGCCCCACCTGTTGATTAAAATATAAACACTAAACTTCAGCTAAATATCAAAGACCTCTAGAAGTAATAATTATTATTATTCACTACTTTGTTGACTAATACAGATGTTGATGATACTGTTGATTAATTCAAAGTAATTGATTAACTAATAAAACAAAAATGTCATTACTGTAAAGTTTTACTTACTTGCTTACTGGTCCAAACACAGTACTCCATGCTATTGGTGATGACCTCATCCATTAATCTAGGGTTTAAGTCCAGGTCCACCCCTTCATGGGAGTCATGGATGGTGTTGATGGTGTGAGCACCCCTGGCCTCTCGTAGGTACATCAGGTTGAAGGGGGAGTACTTGGTGGTACTCTGCTTGCTGGTGTTGATGCCATACACAACACTGTTAAGATGCCTGCAATTATAACAGCGTGTCTTCATATTATCAACACTGTTTCAATTTGTTAGGTGTACACATAAATTATTAGTGTGGTTCTTTTATCACTAACAAGAATATTATTTTTATTGACAATAAATACTGTTTACAATAATATATGATAGATAGCTAACATTTATACATGATTGTACAGTTACTTAAAAAACTATCTCTACTTCGGGAGGGGGTAATGAATTTCTGAATGAACACCATGATTCCTGTTGTCTCGGTAGGGTTGCCAAAATCCTTTGTACATTTTGTCATATTTTTTCAACTTTTTTGTTGAGATAGTTTTTTGAGTTATTGTATATTCACCTGTCCAATATACCATATATATATTAGTTCAATTATTATTACTGTACTAGTACATAGAATAATATGCAATATCTTTTTTGGTTTTTCAGAACAATATTATAATTAAATTTGGATTTGCTTCTATAAATTAATAAATTTAAAGACAAAAAAACAACAATAAACAGACCTATCCCAGTCGTCCTGGTTTTTGTTGCAACACTTGAATATGGCTGCCTTCACTGTCTGGTTGGTCTGTTCATTCTGTAATAAGAAATTTTAATATGTAATCACTTTGTACTGCACTATGAGGAATTATGGTACTGTGCACTGAAACCAATAGACAAAAAGAAATAGGGTGGGTGGAAATAAGTTATGTACAATCCCCAAAAAAGTGTTGTTAGATTTCAATATCACAAGAAATCCAAAAGCTATATTAATTTATGTATCGCTCAAAAATGTATATACTCATTTATGTTCTAAGGTCACGGATGTAGAACTACCAACATTTTAGAAACAAGTTGAGTAACTTTGCTGGGAAAGCTTCAAATCACATTGAACCCCATGGCTAATGATATGTTTTTTGGGGAACTGTACATATTGCTTATTTAAATAAAATTTTGAAGTTGAAACATACATGAAAAGTATTATGTCCTGTAGTAACAGAAATGCTTTAGCAATGTTCACATGTAGTGTGGCACCTATAAGGGTACCTAATCTTACTTGTCCAATTGCCTGGGGATGACATGCCGATGTCATAAGCTGCTTCACCTTGAACAGAGACAGGATACTCTTGTTCACCTGAAAATATAAAACAGAATATATAAAACATTAGATACAACATATAATACAGATGCTTCATTGTGATCAATGTTCAAACAATATTTTACATTAAAAGGTATGACAGCTCTTGTTTGAGAGAATAATCAATGAATAAATATTACAAGTACAGTGCCTGTACCTACCTCATCAACAAATTCATGGCCCTGGTTTGTGATGATCTGGTGGGGGGGTCCATGTGTGTGGATCATGTTCACAATAGCCTGGGCTACACACGGTCCACTCTTGTAGGTCAGTGGATATGCAACTACCCATTTGGTGAACAAGTCTGTCATCGTAATGATATACTTGTGGTCCTGCTGAGTCTCGTGGAGAGGCCCTATTAATCCCATGCAAAGAACACTCCATCGACCCTCAGGCTTGATGGGATGTGGCTCAGGAGCCTTTGTCTTGAACTTGCAGTGGAACTGGCACCTGGAACAGCTCTTAATCTGGAATACATAAGACAGACATATGACAACTAAAATGTTTCATTGTCATAATTTAACAACTAAAAATTATCTGGTGGATGCATATTTTTACTGTACAGTACACCCTCGCACTTCTGGACCTCTCAGATCCGGATTTTGGTTGGTCTGGACGACGTCTGGACGTGGCAAATTCATATCCGGTCTCTCTCTCTCAGTCCATATGCAGTGTTTACCCCCCTGCTGCTAAAATGGACCCTGTCTGCATCTCCTACCACTACTCACAGTTTGTGTCCCTCCTCACTCTCAGTGTGTACACACCATCTCGCTACCTCTCGATTGTGCCTTTCTGTTGTTCTTCATGTATTTTGTGCCCTGTAACTGTTGTGAAGTGTAGTGATGGCTCCCAAAAGAAGGCACACACAGCTTACTGTAACTCAGAAGCTGAAGTTGTTACAGAAGTTAGAGAGTGGTTGGTCTGTAGCGAGATGCTATAGCGAATATGGCGTTGCTAAGCAAACGGTGTCTGATACGGGTACAGTATATGAATGGCTAAGGATTCCCTGCAGTTAATTGCAATGAAATATTGCCTTGAGTCTTCGACCTCTAAGACGTCTGTTGGAGAGCGCAAGCTGATGTACAATATTATGATTATCATTAACGCAGCTTCATCCCCCGGTTCATCCAGACATTTATCGCATCCGGACACCCTCTCCCCCTTAATTGTTCGGAAGTGCGAGGGTTTACTGTATATATTTGTAAAACTTCTACAAGTGACTGAATTTTAAAGAGATTCTTTCATAAGGATTTAAGCTCCTCAACCACAGGTGCTCACCATGCAGAAGCCTTAAGGTTTACATAAGTCTATGCAAATCAGCCATTAAAATTCACCATATTGACCTATTAAATTAACCCTTCAGTGGTCAAATACTTAGATCTATGTACTGTACGTGAGTGGCCTTCTCTGAGTGCTTAAGTACATAGATTAA